AGGATCAAAGTTGCAATCCAAAACACCTGGAGGGCCACGGCTTGCCTCCTGCTCTAGAAATTATTTAGCAACATTCAAATACAAACTGTAACACAATGCAAGATCAGGGCCTTCAACGATAATACCAATTATGCAGTAACAGTTAAGACTGTCAGTTGATTAACTTTTCTTGGTGAGTTTAGCTTGAATATGGAAACTCAATTTAGATTCCAAACGTCATTTAAAATATTAGGCCAATATCCTGATGCACCTAGAAGGATGTCCTGCAGGCCACAGGAAATAGCTGTTTCTCATCCTCTGAGATCAGAGAGAAAGTTCCAACCTCAGATGAGGAGTTCTATCCTAGAAGTCCCACTCCCAGCACCTGAGGAAAGTTCTACAAACTCAAGCTCAGATGTCAGGACATATGGAATAGGTATGCATTACAGTATAATTCAGGAGAGCCTGGAATCCACAGAATCCAAAGCCCCCTCCCTCCCAATTTCATCCTGGAACTAGGGTTGGGGGAATCTGCCATTTCTCATAGTGGAAATTAAATCTCAAAAGAAGACAGAAAGACAATCAGGACTTGAAATATGTCAGATGCTGTGACAAAGAGGTAGGATTACCTTGCCCAGATTCAATCCTGTACACACTTAACTTGAAGTAAGTACCATTGAGGTCAATGGGGCTTATGTCTGAATAGACATGTATAAGATTGCACTGTCTAAGGATGTTGACGATGACTGTCACTCTTATAAGAACATACTATTTAATAATCAAGAGCAGCACAGTTATTGCTTGATGTGAAGGTGATTATCAATATCCTTTTGTTTACATTTGAGTAATATGAGGTGATTGCAGCTATATAATACAGAACAGCTCCAAAACAAAGCTCAGAGTTAATCAGTGTAATTAAAATCCAGATTTTAAACAGATTCCTTTCAACTGAAGTTTCTGCTTTAAATTGCCTCACAATTTTGTTTGTACTGGCATAATAGTTTTGCTCATAAAACTAAACTACACCCCACTCACCTTACAAACCACCCCCTCATTCTGCATCAGCTCTGGTATAGGTAGGAGAGAGCCAGGATACCAGTATTATCCAGACAGAATCCAATTATTCAAGATACTGAAACTCTGGTAGCTTGACTTATCACTTTCTTTACTTGGATATATATAATGAACCCTACCACTGAAGACATACATCTTGCTATTGGACAAATGCAATATTTCTTTGGTATTTTAAAAAAGTTTTTATTTAGAGTTCAGCTTTCAGTTCAGACATATTAATCCACTTACTAGCCTGGGGAAATTATCATTATAGTGCAAACATTGCTGCAATATATGCTGGCAGAAATGATGTAGCTTCTCCTGGGGCAAGTTAGTAAGTGCCTTCCTGTTATGGCATTACTAGTTTTCTGCATATGTAGCAAAACAGGAAAGTCAACATGGCAATTCATCTTATAAATGTAAAAAAGCAAAGAAAAATGAAAGCAGCACTGCACTTCAGACATGTTTGTAATATTTTAGGAATGGTTTTCTCATACAGAAAAGGGTGGGGGAAAGAACACATGCAAAAGCTACATTCTTCTGAGAGTGATTTTCTTGGACAAAGTGACCCTGTTGATAACTGTCAACAGTTATGCCTCTGATAATGTTTTATAATGCTGCCTGCGGTTTTGATGGTCTGAGACCAGGTTGTATGTAGGAAATCCTCCATAGCTTTGTAAAACTTGAACGAGTAAATAAACAATGATTACCATTATAAGATAATGGAAAGTGTAAAAAAGGGGTGGCCATGGAGTCAAGGCTGCATTTAAAAAAGCAGCATTAGAACCGTTGCCTCCCCCTCCAATTGTACAATGATCACAGGACTGCATTCTAAAACAAAATGACTACATTTTATGGAGCATGGCTAACTCCTAACATACTAACACCATTGCAATATTGGTGTCAGGATACAGCTGCTTTGTGACTAAGATGGGGCTTGATAAATGTTATCCAATCGGTGCACGTCACCAGACATCTGTTTCCTGTTTTCATTCTTTCCCTATTATCATTTTGTCTCAATTTCCCTTTCACCTGAGGTTTGTTTAGAATACACCACTAACCAAAGTGTACTATTTTGTGTTTAAAGATACTGAACAGTATCCTTACACACACACACACACCAGGTTATGCATTCTATTATGAAGAACTACCTGGAAATAAAAAGTTCCTATTATGTTAGAATATACAAATAATATACTTTAGTCTTCTACTTTTCATTAAGATGACTAACTTCCTTTCCTTTTGCCAGTTAAGTAGCTTTCCTGTTGAATGTCTCCATTTCCAGAGTACAATTGTGAATTGATTCATTAAAAATAAAAAAAAAGAAAAAGTATCACTGAGTACAAATATTTTCCCCTTCTGATATCCCCCAAATTCAGCCAGCAGTACCATAAAACAGGTATGCATTGTTAACTTCATAATCATCAGGATACAAAACGCACTGCTCTAAGAGGAAAAATGAATTTACAAAATGTATAGTGGGTTAAAATGAAAGCTTCTATTTTTAACGAAGTGCTTAAAAATATTCCCAGTTTGGCATGGAAATTAAACTACATGCCAGATCCTTGATGTGCTGGTCAATGCCTACAATTCAAAGGAGCTGCAATGGTTAATCAAATCAACATGTTAACTGTAAAATTGGAAATGAGTACTTCCAGTGCTGTCACCTGACTCTTAAGAATGTTTAGGCACCCTGATCCATATCCAGCGAAAGGAGAGCCAACACTGATTTTGCAGCTACCTCTAAAAGTATCACTTCTTTCCTCTTACAAAATCTGCCCAATCTTTCCGTGTGAACACAGCATACTGTCCCAGTACATTTGTTGACCCTCTCATCGAAATGGTAGTGCTCTGTGTCCTGTCATTGAAGCTGCATGTGAAGAACTGCATCGAGGCATAGTATGACGTCTTGGCTCAGCAACTGCCGCAACCTGCCCTGTTCAGCAGGACCACAGGGACCAGAACTTGGGGCCAACATCCAGGGTACTGCAGCCCATGCCCCCTTTAACTGACCACCTTGAGAACAGCACTGTCAGGACAGGTGCTGGTCACTGGAGCAGCCATTCTTACTTTTTAAAAGGAAAACTCTTGGGCACATGGTTGTCTAATCTGTTGCCCACCACAGTACTGTTAACTCTAGGGTATGAATTACCCAGTTGTACATATCCAAGAACCACTCCTGCATGGGTGACCTGAAAGCCACCAATGATCTCTGCCTTTTCTGCCCTGATTTTTGCAGCATCCTGGTAAGGAGTGCTGTTGGTAGGAAAGTGCATTAATAGGCACAGGAATAGTATTCTGATGACTCCCACATCCTGGGAGGGGCTGCCCCTCTTCCTTGTCATTCCAACTTGTTCACCTAAATCTTGCTTGGGTTCAGAAAATGAAGATGGTGGTAGTGGGAGGAGGAAATTGCACTCTGTACTTGCTTACTGGCTCAGTTAGCAAATGGTAGGAATGATGAAAAAGGGGCAGTAACATCTGTGAACAGTGGTGGTGAGAAAGTTGACTCACTGGAGGACATTCATTGAAGACACCTTGCCCAAGGGCTCTCAGAAATCTACAGCTGGGACTGAACAGGCACTTGGGCCACTTATGCCTCCTAAGATACCCTTCTCTGAAATCTTATCCTCACTTACAAGTGCTCACACGATTTTCTTTCATTGATGAAAGGAATCTTCATACAGATTTGTAAATTGGGTGTGGGTATAAATACATGTCATGACAGATTTGAAAAGGTAACAGAGTGTGTGTGTGTTGGCCCTATCAGCCTTTACTTTGAAATATTTTTAAGGACACCTATTTAGCTATCTATGAATAAGGACATATATGTTGTACTATGTGGATATGAGAATATCCACATAGAAGATAATAATGAGCATGACTTTAGAATTGCTTCATCAGCAATTTGACAGCTGGAAGAAATTACATTAAAGTGCAAGGAGCATGAAAGACATGGTGAACTTCATAGAATACTAGCCTCTTGACTCTGGTCACCTCCAACCACAGACAAAACTACTTTTGATGCCAAATAAAGAAAATTAGAACCAGGTGGAATTGAATTCAAGCATTACTGAAATATATGTAATTAAGTTGCTTCAGTGTAATTATTGTAGCTGTATCTAGAGACATAATTATGCAGCATGGTATCAAACACGAACACAGCCATTAGAATGTGTCAGTTTTAGTTTCTTTACACATGAGTTAAAAATAGAGTTTAATTGTCTGCTATCCTTTAGATCCTTGGAACAAGCAGGGTTTTATTTATTTTTGAATTTGTAAGATACTCACTAATCCAGATGGTTTTGTGCTACAACATCTAAAGCAGCATCCTAGCCCTGACAACTGGACCAAAGTAATAAACAAATGAGCCAATAGAGGGAGCCAGAACAGCAATTTGGTAAGCTTTGAAGTTTGAGACAGGATACTGTGGTACTAGGGAAAGGAAGCTGGTAGCCAGGAAAATCTGGCAGTCTTCAGCATTTGTAAAACTGACAGAGTCTGCTCACCTGTACAAAATTGTTTTCTCCATGACAGCAGGTACATATTGTGCAACAGGTTAAAGAGTTGATTACAATATGATGTTGTACATCTGATACATGCTATATATACCGTGTATCAGAAAATACGCATTAAAAGCACTACTGGAGATCCAGGAAAATGAAAAATGGAAACCAGTGAAAACCAAGGAAAAGACTGCAGAGATCTGTGACAAAGAATTGAGAAGATATAGATAACACACGAAAATCCTGAATGCTACTGAACATGGGTAAGTAAAAGAGATGTAGCGCTTTATCATTTTTTATTACTTTATTTGAATAGCAACTTATACTTCCATATAACATTTAGAGTTTTTCTATGCTCAACAGTGATGTCCAATTTGAGTACTTATGAGCTGTAGTATTTTAGCAACCTTTCATCTGTTGGTTTCAGAATTTTCTTTTCTGGCATGTTTACTACCCATCCTGGAGCAAGGCCGAAGAAAATCTGTCTGGGGTCCTTGCGTGCACTAAGCATTTGGAAGCGTTCGTCTTTTGTTATATCTGGTAATATATAACCATATTTTTTGGCAAGTTCTAGTCTTTCTTCTTGAATCTTTGATGGATCAGCCAGATAACCACGGTTCATAGGATCGGTATAGTAACGGACAAGATCTTGGGGAGGAAGCATTCTTTTTGGAATAGGCTGGCCCCGGAGAAAAAATGGCACTGGTTTGCAAAGAATTTCTATGTGCAAAATAATGGGAAAAGGAGAGAAATTATTACCTACTCTGGCATTAGCAATCCCATATCTAAAATACAGATGATTGTGAAAGCATACATTTTTTAAAGTATTTTTTTAAAAAATACACATATACCTTTACACTACTACAATTATACCTGTAGCATAGAAATCTAGAAGACTGATACTACTAGAAGTGGGGATGGATGGACAAGCTACTTAACTAACTTGGACACACTGAATATGCAACTTTTATTTATTTACATGGTGACAGATTTGTATATTTAATACATAGTCATCAATAGCAGTTACAGGATATGGTAGACAGTAGAAAAGAAAACATGAAATTAGCAGCCCTTATTTTCTATAAGAAATATGGTCACACTGCATAAACTTGGCAATGGACAAGATAAAGGTGAACATCCAAAGCTTAATATGGACAAAATGGGGCAGCTTGTCTGGATGAGGAGTATATATATGCTCTGGATGAGGATATCCTGCATATTAAAGAAACAGATTCTTCTACTAAGCATGGTCGCATGCTTGGCGGCAGCACTGTTCCTAGATCTCACGTGATGGTCAAGGCCAGAGTTGTATTTTTTTCAGTACGGCCTAACAAGCCAGCTGCACCCTTTTCTGAGAAGAAGGATCTAGTTTTTGTCTTGCATACTCTGGCTTGATTACCAGAAGCTTCTGTACAAAGAACTGTTTTTAAAACATTTTGGATGCTCCCCAGTTATACTGTAATAGCACAGTTTTCCTTTGGAACTGACAATATTATTCATGTGATACTGATTCTGGATGACCTAAATTTGTTATCTATCAATTTTTGTGCAAAATACCAGGTGCTGTCTTTCATAATTAAAGCCTTAAACTGGCTTTAGGCAGTCCTACATATTATCTTCTTTTCATATGTGGGGAAGGAGAGAATTTAAGTAGTGACTTTTCTTCTACTGGAGATATGCTGTTTCAGTGGCCGCTATAATATAAACTCCAACCCATGTGAAATCAGATCTGCACAACTGCAATTGTTAGAAGTTGTTTTTTTTTTTAATATTTTTATTTCCAGAGCTGTACAATTATTTTTACTGTTTTGATTAAAGCTGTTTCAGGGTGCAATCCTGAATGTTTTGCATGTTTAAGCAAAACTCCCGGCATTTCCCAGCCAGCATAGACTGTGTCTGTTGGGTTTATATTGTGATAAATTGATGGTTTAATTATCATGATGTAATTACCATGATGTACTACCTGTAATCTGATTAAAGACATTTTTGCTGGAAACACAGCCTATATATCTAATAAGTCAGTTCGTAATAGCTGAAGCAGCAACAGAAGAAGTAGCAGCTGGATGCTCAAAATCCTGGGCTTGCATCTGATGCCCTACATGAGCCATGGGCCTCAAGAAATGCTTGATAATGCCAGTTTTTACCACCATCCTGCTACCATGGCAGATGAAATTCTGTCCATAGCTTATTTCTACTTTCGGTAACTATGCTTATTAGAACAGTGGCAATATAACAAAACCCTTCATAATATCAATAGGGAATGAAAGATACATAAAGCGTTTTTTTCCCCATTGTTGAAAAAAAGGGTCTCCCTGAAGAACCATCACAAGACTAGCTTTATAATTGATGACATTATTGTAATGCAAACAAATGCTTAATGGGAAGATGCTGATCTCTGACACAATAGCCACTTGGTGAGAATTCTTACCCAAACTCCTTGGATCATAGAAAGCTGTTGTTATGACACCACCATTTTTTTCAACCGCAGCAATGGCTAGTTCAGATGCAATCTGCACTTCAATGTTTATTTTTGCTGCAAAGGTATCAGCACCCTACAATTTCACACAAATAGTAAATAAATTGCAAAAGTTATCAACTGAGATTCTTATTTAGCTATCATACTCTATATTGGGCATCTTAGACCTCAAGTTTAGCATGCACTGGTTACCTCCAACCTGGACTACTAGAAAACACTTTATATAAGGCTCCCTTAGAAGATTGTCTGGAAGCTTCAAGTGGTACAAAATGCAGCTACAAAAAAAATGCAGCTGTCTGAAAGCTGGTGGGAACCTCAAATTCTGAACTCCAATTTTGGGCCAACAGCACTGACTGTCTTAACCTTTAAAGCCCTAAGTAGCATGACTGTAAAGTACCAGCTTCACCCAAACAATTGTTCATGAATGAAGATATGCCTCAGCAGTCCTTGAGTACCAGGTATTAAGATTGGTCAGATTGGCTTGCATAAGACATAGGATCTTCTTGGTGTTGGCCCCAAAACTGTGGGGCAACTCCACTCCAATTCACTAGTGCCTCCTGTGTAGGTGTTCTGGAGAGGCTTTAAGACCTTGTACAAAACTACCTTTAATTTAATGTTATAATTAGTTTATGGATTTAAAAATGTTTCTCAATGTCTCATGCATTCTAATGAAGCAATTATAAATCTTTGTTTCTTGCCTTTTCTCTTGATCATACATTGCTTTGTGAGGGGATAACTTTGAAAAGCAACACACATACTTTAAAAATATTGTAAGACTATGTATTTTTATGAGTATTAAAGAAAAAGATCATACATTAAATTCTCTTGCAGATTCCTGTTGAAAAAAAGTTTAAAGCTATACTGCTGCACTCAAGATTATGCACACACAGAGGCAGTTGCAATTCCAGCCTCCAACAGTGGAATAAAACAATTGTCTTCTTAAACAAACTGTGTAATTTCTTCCACAACAAAATATAACATGCCACATCAAACTTTATAAAAGCAGTTGTCAGAGTAGAAATAAGGCTACTCATTTTTCTTTTACAATAGCCTCCCTTGATATACAACACATTGCTTTTGAACTCTTGAGTATTTCCAAAGCAGATAGCTTATTGCATAGGGGACTGATATCTGAGAATGAAATGCAGGTCTACATTTCGCACATAACACAAGTTCAATTCATCTTTCAGCTCTGTCCTACATGGTAATCTCTAAAACATTCATGTGTTTTCACTGTTGGACCCAACAAGTATACTTTTCAGAAACCTGAAATCCTATGCATGCTAGATGGATGGAAGTCCTACAACACCCAGCTGTACTACCTGGAGCATGCTGGCAGTTGTAGGGCTTTCTTCTGTCTAAAAGTGCATAAGATAGCACCTTTAAAAACCCTTTTATTTGAATAAATGAATGAATGATAACTGAGCACACATCTGGTCTGGTAAAATATCCTATTATGAGGGAATCAAGAAAACTCAAGCTGACCAATGGAGTGCCATCTAAAAACTTGTTCTGATTTAAGGTTTTATCATATTGCAAACTTTATTATTTTTTCCTACTGAGCAAGTATCAGACCTGATGGCCCCTCCTTGGCCCCTCCCAACTCTACTATTCTATGATTTCCCCCAGTGACTGAAATATGCTTAAATGCATATTTTGAAAGTACACATTTTCTGAAATGCTGCTGAATGCATTATTCTGGGGCATGCAAATCACATTGGAACCTTGAAAATGTATGCAAGTTGAACTACAACAATAGATTGTATCCAAGTCATCCAAGTCCATGTTTAGTTAGTAGGTAGGAAGATATATATACTGAGGAAATTCTAATCAAAACTAACAAAGAAAATGTTCACATACCCCTAATGACAGACCTACCTCCTCCACAAGTTGGATTCCATAATGCCTTTTGAGTGGTTGTACTGTTACACCTCTTGCATTTATCAGTTGTGTTAGATCTATTGGTTCCATTGGATCAATTCTACCTAAGTCAATTAGGTACTGCAGCTTTCTGAGACTGAGGGGTGGATACTGATGCCTGTGGCTATAGAGATGATAAAGGAAAGAAAGAAAGAGAGACTTTCAAAGTACAAATCTAATCCAGAATGAGTGATAAATATCAAAGACACAATTTATTGAAAGTTTCTGCTCTGCAAGCCCCACTGAAGTTAAATGGAAGACCTTCTACTACTGTTATATCAAGACTGCAATCCTATGAGTGGAAGTCCCACTGAAATTCATCCCATTGGACTGGGCTTCAAAGTCCTATCCCAAGCAATCACAGCTTAATATTAGACAAGGCAAGGAAGTGAACTCTTCTGAAATTGTTTGAAACTATACCTAAAACATCTTATTCACATGCAAGCTACTAATCTAAATATTATAAATGCAGATCTACTCTGCTTCCATTCAATGCTCAACTGCGGGCTTCAGTCTTTGAACTTTCTGTCAACAGATAGTGAGGAAATACAATCTTTGGTGCTGAATATAGTTTTCTGAGAATCAACACTTTCATTCAGAGGTGTGCAAGTGGGACATTTTAACACATGTTTACAAGTTTACAGATATAATGTTTAATACGTATGGACATCTGCCACAACTCATTGGAGAATACAAGGTAGCTTGCACAGAAACCTTCCCTAGACACTTTGAAAAGTTGTTTGCCATGAGGCACAAGGGAACGGCTGATTTCGCTAAGGAAAAAAAGATACAGCCACAATGAATGAATACAATCTCTTGCACGGATGAGAAGGACTTTCTGGACTGCAACCATTGCCCATCTATGCCAAACATTTATGAACTCAAAAGCACACCGCTTTTGTATCTTGTTTCTTCCTTGTAAGAGGCTGTAAATCTGCTTTTATCCTCTTGTTGATTTTACAATACCGCCTCTTCTTCTAGCACTACATGATTAAACCATGCGTCAAGCGGTCATAGTTCTGCATTCAACCAATCAAAGATAGACTGCTTATCAAGTAGGTTTCTTTTGCTACTAGTGCAGAACCTCCTGAGAGGCTTCTGTTTAAACAGAAGGCCAGGATTATTTAAGGAACAAGAGATCAACCTGACCTAACAATATTTGAATCAAAGAAGCACTCTGTTAAGCTCTTTCTCCTTCAAGAATGAGAGGCTGGGAAAATGGAGCCAAACTTTTTTGCCATTCTCCAACCTCAGTCCTATGCCAAAAAACCCCCTCCTTGTCTTTTTCCCCTTCTCTAATTTTTAAAGGTATGCCTGGCCATCTTTTAATTTCAAACATTTGCACTTACAGCAAATTGCACTTACAAAATACAAAAAATACAATTACACACACACAGAAGACAGACAAAAGCAGAAAACACTATGCTAGGCATAAATGAGTACTTCAAAGCCAGTATTTGAGCCAATTTCAAACTGTGCTACTTTGCATTAACTGCTGGCAAAGAAGAAACACATTTGCAAGTGAACTGCACATGTCTCTGAGCAGTAGTGCATGCAGTAGTGCATGCCTGTGCAAGAGCTCAAAATTTTTTAAAGTGCAGCCTAGTAGCCAATGCAAAATTTGCAATGCAACTCATAGATCAATAAGAAGGCCTAAGAGCAAAATCCTATAGGGATACTCACAACCTATGCAAGATTACAGGCATCCTATGCAAAGCAGGAGCAGCACAGAGGCAAAGGTGGCCTCCACATACCTCCCACACAGCTAGATGGGCAATTTCAGCTGTCTTACTGCAGTGCTTTGGAGGAATCGGGACAGACGCAACACCAGGATACCTCATATCTCAGCAGAATCATTCTCCTCTTCTTCCTGCCCCTAAATCCCTTCTCCAAGGTTGTTATGAGTACAGCAAGGAAAGGAATTCTGAGTACATAAACTTCATCCAAGATAATAATCATAGAAAGAAACTTACCTGTGCCCTTCATTGTAGCTGTATTTTGGAATAACCAGGTAAAAAGGAGTTTGGCCACCTTCAAAGCCTAATCGAGGGCGGGTTCCTCGTTGCCTTTCTCCTTTATGACCTCTACCACTTTTCCTACCTCTATACCTTCCACGTCCACGTCTCCTTTCCTAAAAGAAATATCCTTATGTAAGTTTAACACATAAGCCTCAGTTCATCAGGGAAGCACTCTTTTTTGGAGAACATATAAGATTCAAGGCTGTAACCTTATGTATCTAGAAGTACTTCTGCTGACTACAGTGAATCTTATTTCAACATGTGTACGATTGTCCAATAAATGTTAAGGTCCTCACTTTAACCACTGTAGAACAGGACAAATGTTACCTTCACTTATAATGGTGAAACAGGACCTTTGGCTTACCATGAACAAGTCGCATACTAGTGCAACAGTACATTCTCTTTCACTTTGCTCCTCCTACTTTGGCTAGCAATAAACAACCCAGAAACAGCTTGTGTGTTCTGCCCAAATCCAGAAACTATTTGTTTTGTGATAGCTGGGTTTGCTGTTTCCAAGAAAGCAAAGATCTCACTTGCTGTAATCCTGACTTAACATTATATGTGAATGCAGCAAAATAAAAAACTTGCATAATCTACAGCAAGGTGGATTATAGGGAAGGGGGAAAGGTGGAGTACTGGTGGACTGGAGTATAAAATATATCCCACAATTTGTAAAGGCTTCAGCACTATACACACAACAAATATTCTGCAAATCATGCATCTTATCACGAAAATATTCAACTTTGGCAACAGAAATAAGTCCGAATCAGTCATCTTTTCTTACGCATCTTCTGTATGCTACCTAATAGGCAAGAATCCAACTGTTATTGAGTCCCTTTTGCAGCTTCAATAGGACAAAGTGGCATTAGTTGAATTTCTGTTGGCTGTACTGCCTTTAAAGGAACATGAACCACTTTAGGGGTGGGGATAACCATCGTAAAGAATCAAAGGGCATGTCAGCTACAGCAAGACCTCTCCGGTCCGCCGTAATCTTGGCTCACCGGTTTCCGAGCACCATCGTTAGGCCGCAGGTTGGCGAGGCTGACTCTAGGCAAGGACCGCAGCAGTTCCAAGGCCTTACTCCTGTTTCCTCCGCCAACGCCAGACGCCGCCGCAGCCATTGGACGCTCTCTGAGCGGGACTAGAGGAGAACGGCGAGGTAGAGAGGTCAACTACGTTCTGCACAGGCGCAGAAAGAGTTTCGCGATACAGCTATAGAGAAACTAAGACAGAGTGAACCAGCTGTCTCGGATTGCTGTGTTATTTTGAGATTTGCTCAGTTACAGCATGTAACAATGCAAATCTCCTATGCATGTCTATTCAGAAGCAGATCAATGGGCTTACTGTCAGTTACAAGGGTGGAGGATTGTGGCTTTAGGGTGGCAACAGAATAACGTCTATCCTGTTATACTGTTGATTCAAGTGCTATAAATGCATCTCGCTGTAGATAGATATAATCTCCATGTTGGAACCTCATGAACTTGGGTCTGCATGTTGGCAATTTGAAGAAAGTTTGGGCCTAATCTTAGTAGGCCTAAAAGTAGCTACAACTCTAAATCTGATAACTAATTTTCTATCTTATTTCTATTTACTGTTTTTTTCTGTCACCCTACAGAGAAGGACAAAACATGGCGCCAACAATGTAACAGAAGCTCCGGGATGCAAACCATGCAACGGCCGTTCTAGAACTTAGTTCCAATGCGTGTCTATGGTTTTTAAGGAAGCGCCAGAACGGCTGCGTTAGCCGCCCGCCAATATTGGGCCCAGCCAATGGAAAGCAGTAGTGTGTGTTCGGCCTTGGCGGGTGGGCGATATCTGCTCTCTATCCACGCGCCTGTTTCAACGCCTCCTCCCGCTTTCCTACGCGATGCGTGAGAAAGAGCGCACGCTGGCGAAAAGGGGCGGGGGAGGCGGTCCCGAGGAACGTCCACCTAGTTCTCTTTCCAATCCGTTCGCCGCCACGCCCGTTTCCCCACCCTCCGCGGCCGCCCTCGCTCCCTCCTCCTCTGTCAGTTTTTCACCGGCCTCTGCGAGAGGAGAATACGGTGTATGTGCGGAAACAACATGTCCGCTCCGCTCCCTGCTATCGTCCCGGCCGCTAGGAAGGCCACCGCCGCGGTGAGTGAGGGGTGCGCAGAGCAGCGCCTGACGAAGGTTCTCGTCTTGCACCTGCTCTGCAGGTGTGGCTGAAGGTCGGCAGGACAGTATTAGGGTAGCACGCCTTACCACCCCACTTTGGGAGTGGCCCCACGGAGCTCAGCGGGGCTGCTTGGGAAAAGTCATGCTGTAAGCCCACCTTTTTTAGGCCAGCTGGAGGGAAGTTAACGCCTCCTACCATATCGCTGGTCTGGCCCGGGGGCTTCTGGCCCTGTGTTGCGCTTCTGCCGCTTCCCTACTTCTCCGTCCTTCGAGATCCAATCTTGGGTTCGCCGTGACCAGCACGGTAGCAAGTAAACGAGAGGCATAAATAACAAATAACTTTTACAGATGCCGAATAACTTATGGTGTCTGTCTTTTCCACCTTAATATTCTTCCCTGTCCATTCAGAATATCTGGCAAAACTTGAAGTGTGATTTCAGGAATAGTAACGTTTAAATTCTTCTATATAATAACTGTTTTCCCAGGGAATGTTCGCCTTTTGATTGTGCTAGAAATACTACAAACTGATTAGGACCATGCAACAGCTTAGATAGTTTTCTTGTCCCAGACTTTACTATCCTAATTTATGAATTTGAGTGGATAGTAATCTCTGTGTGAAGAAATAAAAATAATGTGCATTTGATTGACTGGGTGTCAAGTCTCATGTGGGGCAGGTGTTCAAGTTAGAAGTGAAATCACGCTGAATCTTAGGGAAGCCAGATAAACCGTTTAAAGTGTTTTCAGAACATATTTGTGTCCTCATTAGTGGGAAGATTTAATTGCAACAAAGTGTTTTATCACCTTAGACTCTTTCAGAAGTGTCTGAATGTGATGATTTGCATTAAAATAACCCACAATGTGACTTGGAGCTGACTGACTTATTTTTGTGTCAGTTACCATGCAGGAATGCCCCAAATAAAGGAGAGGATTTTACTGTCCCAAATAAAGATTTTTTATTTCTTTAAGTGGTGAAATTTAAGATGTTGAATAATAAGAATGATTAATGGTCATAGTGTTGCTGCTAAATATATTTCATGTATTTTTTTTTACTTTTAAAAACTTGAGTAATGCAAAGACTAAATTACTAAATTGGTGTGACTCTAGATCATTTAAGTTGGTTAGGAAAGGAAGAAGTAAACAATTAAGATTTTTTTTCTCAAATGTATATGAAATCAGGTAATGGTCAGTCTGATTCAACAGTTCCCTTTTATGAGCAAGAGCCTAATCTGGAGCATCAAAAGCAGCACCCAGTTCCTTTCTGGAATATTGTTCTTAGTTCCTTGGCTTTGCTCCTAGTTGGGAAATTTAGTACTTTACTCTTATTACAAGGCAAAACCAGAACAGAATTGCATTAGCCTGGATTCTAATAGGTTTCTGGTTGCTACAAGTGTTCTTGTTTACCAGGATCAACCATGGCTTGACCAATGCAATATCTAAAGTGGCTTCAGCCAAATGAAAGCTTGCATAAAACATATTTGTGTGGCCACTCTAAATGGTGCGGTATTTCTGTGTGTAGTATCTCACTGCGTTGGTCTCCCCTAGATGTCCATACTTTTATTTTAAAATGTGCATGTCTGTACATCTTTCCTTGAAAGCCCCATTCAACTCCCAAGCATTCAGCATGGTTCACATTCAACAAATTATTGCTCACAATTTCTTATAGTGGTATGAACAATAGTTGAAACTGATCTATATCAGGAAGGGTAGCATGCATCCTGATGACCCCATATTGCTCTCCTTGCCTTTTTACATCTTTTCAAAAGGGATAATTGACAGCAGACTTATAAAATAATTATCAACCTATTTTTTTTTACAAATTCCTATAGATGTGAATCAGCTATGAATATCTCCATGTATCAGAGAAGGGTGCAGTTCCTGATTTATAATATTGATGATCAGACTATAAAAGGGTTCTAGTATGAGAGCACCAAGCATTTGCTGGCCTTGATATTTTAAATCTTAATCACATGAGTAGCCATTTATCCTGGTCCATTGTTTGTAGTTCATATTTGTGGGGTACATGTGGGTGTTTTAAAATATTGCTATTACTAAAGAGTTCGGTATGGATTCACAGAAGATGGATTTATACTATGTACCCTTTTAATGTGGTAGTCTAACCTGTGTTAAATTCTAGGTCATATTCCTGCATGGATTAGGAGATACTGGGTAAGTAAAATCGAGATATGTGATCTCATCTTTTCAAAATGCATTTTTCTGTTTATAAAAAAATTGTTCACAAGAAAAACCACAGTAGCCTCAGCCTCATTAGATATAAGCTGTTCTGTGTTAGCTGCTTTATTAGTTGTAGAGCTTGCACCTTGTATTTTAGTCTTCCATTCAGATATTTTTTTAAAAGCTTAACGAAATCCCTGCTGAAACTATTGACTGTGAGAACTAGCTTTGTGAACAAATGTATAAATAAAAATAAGTTCAGTGAGTATAGTAGAATAGTCCTACTGAATATTTTTTAAAGTTAGATGCAGGTTGACACTTGATTTAAAAGTGCTTGGAAATAAACATTGAAACGCCTTCCTACAGAAGTTAATATGTAACAGTGCAGCCCTGTGAGGCTGCCCATAACCTTCTGAGCTCAAAGAATTACTGGTATCCCGTGGAATGAATACAGAGGCAAAGATTGTCTTCATGTGTGTTCTCCCCTGCAAAGATCTTGGAGTTGCAGTCAGTTTAGTTCTTTGCTGGCTCTGTGGATGGAGGGATGGTGCTCTGAATTTGGAGTCCTAAGTGTCTGAAGTTGGAGCTTGGACTCTGACCAGACTTTATTCAGTGGCCATAGGTTTGTGCCCTTGGTTGCTTTGCTATATAATCTTCTGTGTATTTTCTGAGAAATAAGTTATGCTGTGGTCAGTGATGCTTGCTCACAAGTAAGTTTATTCAGGATTGCAACCTTAGTGTGGAGTTACCCTAAATCTGTGAAGGCCCAGGCGCAAAATGGAAAAATTCTAGGGGAAAACTTTTCTGCTGCCGGCTTTGGTGTGTTTTCTGCTATTTTTTTTTCTGATGAAAAAGATTGGAACCTTTGAAGCACACTGAAAAAACTTAGTTCTTGTGGAGATAAGATTGAGAGCAGGAGAAAAATGATGTAAGCCTTTTTGAATTCTTAAAAAAGGAAAAAGACAGGACATAAATCTAATAACCCTAAAAATAAATGGATGTTAGCTGGGATGGAAGTATGACTATTTTTTCTCAGAAGTTTGAGGATCCTTTGGGTCCTGTGTACTTCTAATGATAGACCCCCGGAGCATCCCTTTTTCATCAGTCAACAGTGAAACACAGTGCAGCATCAAAAATCCCATTATGATCCAGCTGGAAGCTCTAGAATTCGATAATGTTTATTGTATATATTTTGATTTTGTTTTTACACATTTGAGACCTACCTCCCAAGTTTTCTTTGTGGTTTTAATATATGTCAGACTAGGTTACTACTTAATAGATTATAGTATACTAGTATTACTGCTATTAAACATTTTATATGTTGAGCAATGTACTTTAATCCTTGGAGGAACCTTGTTGTTTTCCTTTTTCAAAATATTTATTTGAATTGAGTTCCCCTGAGTGTTGAACTAGTTAATCTGATACCTAAGTTAGGAATAGTCTTGCTAAATTAAATTTTATAAATGCTGTGTTAGCAAATGTTGAGATTAGTAATGATGTTTTTGTGTCCAACAGTCCCTGAATTTTATGAGTAAGCAAAGGGAATTAGAAAATTTAAGGTTGTTACCAGTGTGGGAAATTCTTGCATGACATTTGTGTATTTCAATAGGCATGGCTGGGCAGAAGCATTTGCTGGTATCAGAAGCCCACATATAAAGTACATTTGTCCACATGCGTAAGTATGCTTTCAGTTTTGGGTTAATCCTTTCTCTCACTTCTCAAGATGGATTACAGATAGAGGTTTAGTGAAAGAATCCTGAAGCTCTTTTGTAAAAAACAAGGAATCGCTGCACATGGTGATTCTTAAATTTGATTCATATCTATAGTTATGCATATTCTATCATTTGGACAAATGCAAACAGGAGAGCAAAGCATATGGGAACCCAGAAAATGGACTTGCTCATATGGACTGGCTCAGTGCCTCACTGAATAGAAGTATGTATGGCTCATACTGCATGAATTAGAATGACCATTGTATCACTTTAGCATTTAAGGCATGGCAGGTATTTGAACAGATGCAAGAGACTCCTCCTGTCCTTGTCTGCTATCCATTTCTCTTCAAGGAGGTCTGCCATGTAATGAGATTCATGATCTTGTAGAAAACGATGTTCAGATTAATTACACGTGGCAAGATTAGTTTTCTTTTAAGTAGTTAATTATGAAAATTAATTTTAAATTTCTTCCCACACTTTCCAGGCCGGTTATGCCAGTTTCTCTAAATATGAACATGACTATGCCTTCTTGGTAAGTAGCAGACTGGAAATAATGTGTATTTTTTTAAATCTATTGCTTTCTTGTATTCTTTTTATAGTATTTATAACTATGTATACAATATGTATTGAGGGAAATTGGGAGGAGGAATAGAGAAGGTTGATGTTAGCTACTGCTTGGTAAAAATGATGGATGGATATGGCCACTATAAATATTGCAGCTTGTATTCACTTATGTAATTGGCTTAATTTTATGTAGCATAGTGCTATATAATTATTATAATAACATACTATATAATATTGTATAATGTATTATAATACCACTCTAAGGTCATAGTTGTGGCCTGTGGATTGTCACATTTCACTCTTTCAGGATCCTTTGATTTTTGCTTTGTAGGGTTGCCACCTTTTATTTTCTAGCCTTGTTTCTGTGCCTTTAACAACAGGTAACATGAAGAAATGAAGGTGAAACTTTTTCCATTACTCTACCAACTAGAAGTTTACCTATTTAGCTTGCATGAACCTGCTGTTAAAGGTAAAGGGGAAAAATAAAATAGCCTGTTGACAGCTCCTTGCATTCATAAATCTTATAGTTTTTACTCCAATGGGGTATTTACACTTCTAAAAGCTGTATGTAAAACAAGAATGTAAAGCTACCATTTTTCTTTTGTCTGTTACACTGCTGTTATTCATGGAGTACTTTAAAGCACAGGAACCTTGACAGATAAAATAACTGTGTGTGGTCCCTCTTCCTAAATCAGACACTGCACAGCCTTTGCTGATCAGCAGAATTCCCCCTCTCCCCCAAAAATATCTTCCTACTAAAACATACCACTTTTGATTCTTTTGGTCTTTTCTCAACTATCTTCCTGTGACTTCTTCAGAAAACTTTCCCCTCAGGTGCCTATATCTCAACTTGCCATTGAATCTGCAGTGCAATCTTTAAGTTTCTTGCCTTGAGGAATGTGATCCTATGGCTCCTAGACATCAACTGGGAACCACAGAATAATTTAGATTTCTAGATTGGAAAGTGTTCCAAGCACAGATCTGGGAATTTGTGCCTCAATCCCTCTTCCCCAGTGTGGAAAAAACCATACTGGATACCTCACTGAGGTTGGATAATCAACTCTGGATATCAGCTAAGGAAGTGCAGAAGAGACTGAGGCTGCAAGGAGTCAATCGGCAGTCCAGTCTCCTTCATTTCCCTTCCAAAACACCTCAGCTAAATGTCTGAAAATTACTCTGGCATAGGAGTGGCTATCATGTCTGCCACTCTTCCTGCTCTGCATTGAATACTCATAAGTTTGGGATTTCTTAGCATAAGGGGCATATCTATCATATGGCACTTCATGCTAAGACAGTTCTGCCTTTCTTTTTACCCTTATGAAGCTTTAGTTCCTACCCAACTGCTATCTTGTTTTTCTGGGGAGAGGTAGTATCTTATTATCCTAAACAGCTAGCCTATTTTCTTCTAGCACTTAGAAATACTAAGTTTCCAAGGCACAATCAGTCATTGTGAGAAGCTTCACCATCAATGTTGCCAGAAGTAAATTCTTTTATGTATTACAATATAAAGGTATTATCTTGCCTGTAACATAATAAATGCATTTCTGCTGTGAATTAATTTCTGTCCCACTATTTCCTGAATAATAATATAATATAGGAATTACATAAACTTCAAACATCTTTTAGTGATATGTGTTTACATGAACCTCTATGTCCAGTTATATGCTGTTGAATTTCAGTTGAATAGTTCCTTATGCTATGAAGTATATGATTAGAGACATCAGTGTATTTTCCTCTGATGTCTTCTGCTTATATGTGCATATTTCTTAGATATGGCTATGTAATTCTCAGTTGCTGCTTGATAGAGGATTGAACCTATATGCATTATTTAACATTTGGATGCTGCTGTAATGCAAAGACCTGAATAACATAGCATAGTAATTGTTTGATTTAAGGTTTGATATTATTGGACTTGCTCCAGATTCACAAGAAGATGAAACTGGGATCAAGCAAGCCTCAGAGACTGGTATGTTATTTTAAATGTTTGGTGAAAAGGGATAGTTAACTGCTTTCAATTTCACAAATTTTCAGCCTGACTTGTAACTGCAATATTCATATTTTATAAAATTATAATTGCATTACTGTTATAGAATTGTTACATTTTTGTGAACTGAAATTCTCTGTACAATTAATAGACATGGCACTATCTGCTATGTTTACAGTAGTACTGAGATCTGAGCAGTGAATTATGTGTTGCTTATGTTCTCAATATGTGTGTACCTTTCACTAGAAATAAAACAGTTCTAAATTTAATTTTGGAGCCGGTGTTTTATATAGCTGCTAGTACATTGTACAAGTAACTATTCATGACCTATGCAACTGTCATTCAGTAGTTTAAAATGGAATTTACTTTTGTGACTATCCAGTGAGTTGTTGAAAAGTCATATTTTTGGTAGTGAAACTGCATAAATGTAAAATAGCTACATGCCAGTCTTTTAAGGCATTGTTTTGTATTATTACCATTTTCTTTTAATCATTAACATTTCAGTTAGGCAATACTAAATCTACAGGCTATGTAAAATATGTTGAGCTATTCCCCCCCCCCCCCATGTTTTTCAATAGATTTTCTTGTGCCAGGAGAACCTATCAGTACTAGGGTTTCTATTTTGGTGTTGCCTTCAAGTTGGACATTTGATGAACCAAAAGAGTTTGATCACTTGGCCAGTCAAAGATTGGCAAATAAAGTACAAATATTAGCTTTACTGGAATAAAAGACAGTGTAATTACCAAAAAAAGTGATACTTGCATGCTAATTTCCAAAAAAAATGAACCCAAACCAATTTGTTGTTGCATAAGTTCTTTTAAATAGTTAAGTAAATTTGTAACTAGTGAATTAGCTTAACCATGGTGGATAAGATTTGCATAAATGTAAATGATCTAACAATTCTTCTCCTTGTTTTGCACTAGCCTTCCCTATCCTGGTGCCCTCCAATTGTATTCCTGACAATTGGCCATGCTGCTGATTCTGATAGCAGTTGAAGTCAAAGCAACAGGGTCACCAAATTGAGGAAGGTGGTGTTTTATTCTGGGATAACAATGATCAGTGATACAATAATCAGTTTCAAAACTTAAATAAGACAAACAGAAAATCAAATGCAGCAAAGTAACAGCAACTATTAAAACTAAAGAGGTATTCTACAGTTTACAAAGCAGAAGCAAATCAAATGTAGCCAAGCACAGTGCCTTGTAGAAGTATTTACTCTCTTTCACTTTTCCACATTTTCCTGCAATTGAAATAGATTTAATTGGCATTGTCACTAGTAGATGTACACAAAAGATTTGACACTGAAGGTGTAAGGCATTTAGCAAAAACTAACTGGCACTTAGTGTTTGCATATGTATTCAGTACCCTCCAGTCAATTCTTGGTAGAACTACCTTTGGCACCTGTGATTTTTCTTCACTAAGTCTCCAGGAAAAGCCATGCTGCAAGAGACCAAACCAGCTGCCCACAGAATCTCTCAAGCAGGATAGATACAATAGTTTTGCCTGCTCCATTGATAGCCTCCTCCTCCATTAATTTGTAAAGTCCCCTTTTAAAACCATGCAAATTTGTGGCTAACACTGCTTCTCATGGCAGTATGTTCCATGATTTAACTATATGCTGTCAGTTTTGCAGTGTTTGCCCAGTTTCTGGCAAAACTGCGCTTAACGCTATCAGGTTAAGTGAGGATCATAGGTGAACAACAGCTTTCAAGTCCTGCCACAGATTCTTAGTCAGATTGAGGTCTGGACTCTGAGTAATAAAATATTCATTGCATTCCTTTTTGCAAATTCCATATGGGCTTTGATATGGGTTTGTGTCTGCAGTGGCTCTCCTTGCTACTCATTCATAAAGCACAGCTTTGTGGAGAGTCAGGGTGATAGTTGTCCCATGGATTTCTGCAGCTACTTAAGAGTTACCATTGGCCTCTTGCTTGCTTCTTTGATGAATGTCCTTACCTGACCCCTAAGTTTTGGTGAATGGGTTTCCTATAGGCAGAGTTGTGGTTGAACCATATCCATATCCTTTCCATTTTATAATAATGGATTTAATCATGTTTTTGTTGGTATCCATAATTTGGAACATTCTTTTATAACCCAATCCTTTCTGATGTTTCTGCACAACTTTATCCTAGGCTCATTTTGATAGTTCCTTGGTCTTTGGCTAAATATCCTTTCCCAGAAGCTCATAAGCCTTCTAGAAACAGGTGTATTTAATCTAAGAACATTTGGCACTGAATTGCACACAGGTGGATTCTGTACAGCTACTTACATTACTCTGGAGATAGTGGATGACACCAAAGCTGGCTTAGGCATGTCACAGCAAAGACAGTGAATATTTATGCAGCCAACAAGTGCCAATTTGCTCCTGATTACTCAGCTTCTGTGCCACAATAAATTTATTTAGTATCTTCACATTGTTGGGTTTTTTGTGTATAGCAAGTGGTAACAATGCCAGTTAAACCCAGTTCCAGATTGTAATTTATTACTACATTGCATTTTTATCTTGCCTGTTTTTCTCTTGTGAGGAACTCAGGGAGTTCCTAAATATAGCTCCATTTTGTTCTCACAACAACCACCCTGTGGGATAGGTTTGACTGAGAGTCTGGATGACCCACAGTCACTCAATGATTTTCCTGGCCAAGCAGGGACTAGAACCTGGATCTCTGGGTCTTCAATCCAACATTCTAATCACTATGCCATGCTGGTAGACTTTTGGAAGGCTGCAGCAGCAACTCTTAAAGGTTTCTAAGGTATCCTGCCATCTACAAAGTGGATGGCTTTGTGAAATATTTGACTGGTCAACTGACAGGCATGATGTCATGTAGATAATTTAGAATTTGCTTAGGCTCCTCTGAACTGAATTAGAGTCCTTTGCATTCCAATATTTGACTAGACTTCTTTTTTTTTAACCTCTTTTCACTTTTTTCATTCTCCTTTTCCTACCTGCATTACACCATCTATAGTATTATTTGTTACATTAATATCACACCCTTTTTTCTTACAAAGAATGCAAAGTGGCTCACACAATTTTGTTCCTTGGGCCCTCAATTTTATTCTCACAACAACAACACTGTCAGGTATGTTGGGCTGAGAGTCTGTGACTGACCCAAAGTCACCCAGTTAGCTCCATGGCTAAGTGGGGACTTGAACCCAGATTTCCTGAGCCCCAGTCCCACCCTCTTAACCACTATACCACACTGGCTGTATTCTGTTGTATTGAAGACAATAAGCAAGCAGAGTAGGAAATAGCAAGGCGTAGTGTTTGACACCAGTGAGGATATAGCCATAACCTGGGAGTAGGTGGGATCGTTTATATCATCACTACTGTAAGAGTTCCCAGAAACTGCTTTATCTCTTCCTGTGACAGTCTTTAGGTAGAACTTGATATGCCTCATATCAGTAACTTCACTCAATCTGGTCTGGCTATGTGTGTTGCTAAATTGGATGAACATTTCATATATGGAAATACAACACCAGCTTTGTAAGGAAATGAGTTAGGGGTCAAATAGGGAGCTTATACAGCATGTAACTGCTATCTGGGGATCCCTATAGCAAGAAGCTAACTTGTAGTGGAAGACCTTTACATTGGAGAAGGTAAAGTTGTTTCAGGGGTTGGAAGCAAAATCCTGACCTAGAGTTTTCATAGTGCTTGAAAGACAAGGGAGATTGATTTGCATGTGTCTTGTACTATAGAATTTGGTTTGGGAGAGTACATAAAGCTAGACAGGCTGCAGTGGGAGTATGTGAAGTTTGTAAAACCTCAGGGCAGAAACTAGGATACATGACAATCCCAGCCCTCCATGGATAGGAGAAACCTAACTATTAACCTCATGGCATCTTTGTGACAGTCATTTACTTTATATGTGATAGTCTTGTGGTAGTAACAATTAAGACTTCCTTTTCAGTGAAATCACTTATAGAGCAAGAAGTAAGAAATGGAATACCCTCAAACAGGATAATTTTGGGAGGATTTTCTCAGGTAAAACTGAATTCTTGTCTCCATCTAGCATTATCTCTGGCAGTGGAAACTAATAATTACAACAGAGCAAGGCATCTCTTACTATTTATAACTTTGAATCCAAATAGTTTCTGTACTAAACCCTTTCTGTTAACCTTAGTAAATGGAAATTTGATGTAGGACAAACATACTGAGTCTCCCTGGGACAAAGATTAGACTGAGTGTTCATTCTCTTACTAAAGCTTTTAGAATAAAATAGTTTTAAAACAGTGTTAGTTCTGAGAGTTAAAGAATTGTTGTACTGTGCTACATTAAATATAGTTGCCCTCACAGTCAACTGCTTCATTCACTCTTGTGCAAGTTGAAGGAAAGGAAATGGTCACATTGACCTTGACATACTTCAGGGTCCTTGCAGAAATGCCCAGTAGAAAGAAAATATTTTACAGTTGGAGAAGGGGCTGGGAATGGAGACTCAAATAAGGCATACACTTGAGGAGAGTTGGTGTGTGAAACATGCCATTTCAAGGAGACGTGCCTTTCCTGTTGAGAAAAAGTGGGGTAAAGATATCACAATGACTGCTTCTGCCAAATAAAAGCAGACCATTGCTGTAGACCATTGCCAATATTAAAAAGCATATTCAAAATGACAGCATTTTTCATAAAATGTGCAACTGGCCAGGGTTTGATTCAAACTGTAGTAATGAGATTTAACATTTTTTTTAGGGGGGAGCATTATCACTGTATTCAGCTCTCACAACACAGCAGAAGTTAGGCGGTGTTGTAGCACTTAGCTGTTGGCTTCCACTGCGGACCTCATTTCCACAGGTAGTATACTACTTCTCTAAAATTCAAAATAAAGTAAGAGTTCACTTATACTTTAAATATCTTTCATCATGCATGACAAAGGAACAAAAGTATCCAGATGCAACTTTTTCAACATGAAGACGGCTTATGAAAGCCTAAAGAGCCTTTTTGGTATATTTTTCATTGCTGCTTCTCATCCACATACAACAGAAAAAATAGCCAGGATTTCATGAATGTAAGAACTCAAACATTCTGAGTTTTATTATTTTAAAACATGGTATTAAGATAACAGGATATTTCTTTATGGCCTTTCCTTTGAACAGCAAAGCATAAAGAGCCTTCTTTATACAATAAAGTAGGGGAAAAGAAGCTTCCCATTTAGCCCACAGAGGCTTCTGCTCCCACTGCATGCCCCATCTTATCCCAAAACAATGCTCAGTGGAGGCTACTGGGTGCTTGGAAAAGCAGTAGGGAGAATATCCCCACTTTTATATTCCATCTGTGAACAAAGGTAATGCAAAGATTCCCATGCACATTGTTTACCCTCCCCGTATTATTTCTGATGGAAATTTCTTTTAACATGCACTTCTCATGCCTCCAACTGGGAGGTTGAGCAGTGTGCTAAGTGTGGCTGAGGCACCTGGTGATGGAATGATTGCTAACCCAAAACCTTTGGAAGTTTGGTTACATGTATACTCTCTCTGCCATACCCAGGTGCAAAAGGGAATTCCTTACTTTGTCTAGGCTTTTCTCAGGCGTAGAAAATTCTATAGCTTTTCCCAGCTATGGAAAATCTGAGCAGAGTGAAACTGATCCAGCTCTGTCCCCTTTGTCATGCCATGTCATGTCATGATGTCATTCGACCGGCTGAGGATGGGAGACATCTGCCCCTCCCACTAATAACGTGAGATTATCATTTTTTTAGCATATTGACTATTAGGGAACACTTCAATATATTTTATGAAACCATTTAAAAATACATCCTTATGTGAATATAACATGAATGTAGAGAGTTAGCAACTGCTATCAGGCTTGCTTTACCATTGATTTAGTTATGCTAAGTATGATGACAAAGAGCAGCTAAGGCTTGATGAAATTGTTTTCCATTTAAATGTTAGTTGTTTGCAATACTTAAGAAAAATTGTGAATTGTGGTTTTAGTAGGATTGTCAGAGTATAATATATTAATACAGAAAAGAAGGCCTACTCTATGTCTGTATCACTAGCAAGTTTTGGCCTTGGAAAATGTAGTGGATAAAATGATCTTAGCTTAAACTACCTCATAGGGTGGTCGGGTGGATAAAAGGCATGGTGGTCATGTGCTGAGATGCTTTAGAAGAAGGTGAAAATAGAAGTATAAGTTGAAAAACATACTTTTCCCTTTTATTTTTTCTGTAACTTTGATAGGGTGCCATCAACTGTGTCAACAAAGATATTTCCATTCTCCAGTGCCACGGTGACTGTGATCCTTTAGTCCCGCTAATGTTTGGTTCTGTAACTTCTGAGACACTAAAGACTATGCTAAATCCTGGCAACATAACATTCAAAACTTATTCAGGCATGATGCACAGCTCGTGTATTGAGGTAACAACTTTTGCAACAAAAATGAGTTGAATAATTTAATTGGAGCAGAGTGGCTGATATTTGTGCCCTCTTGAGTATTGTTTATTGTTCAGTTTAATGTGTCAGATGGCACTGATATGTAAGGTTTTGGAACTGTTTTGGAGTTTAAATTAAATTCTGAGCCCTGGTAAAAATTATTTTGAGTATTTTTCATTTTTTTAAGGGTATAGTCCAGTTGGGATGCCCATAAACCTCCAGACTTGGAGGATTACAGGCAACCTGTGCAGGATGGGGGAAGTGCAGAGGTGATCTTCACCTCCCTGCTTGACTGTAGGACCTACCTTGGAAAAGGGGTAAAGAAGGGTGTTCTGGGAAATAGGAAGGAATGGGACTTGGTCTCCCGGGGGAGAGGCTGGGACATTGACAGAGTATATCACATCTTAATGAACCGAGTTTCTTCCCCTCCGTGCCCCCCAGAATGCCCTCTTAACTGCTTCTTGGAGATTGGTCTTATGATAACTGAGAAGCAGTGACAGTTTTTTCTGCACTTGCTGGGAGGTGATGGAGGACAGTCTCAAATCTGGGAATATGAAACATCCTATGGCTCTCTAGGCTACACGTGTGGATTATGGGCCATAGGATTATTCTGCCTGTAAGATAAATCTCCATATCTCATGGAGTATGTCAGTTTTAAAATAGTTCTTCACTAATTTTTATAAGAGTAGTATCAGATTTCAAATATATCAAATTTACTATCAACTCAGTAGCCAATAGTTTGGAAAGGAATTCTGACTTTATTGGAATCAAGCCTACTAGCACTATTCACAGTGTGATCGTATACATATTTACACAGAAGTAAGTTCTGGTAAGTGGGTTGCAAGGTTAATCCAAACAAGTTGAAGACATTATGGCAAGTCAATGCCATGTTCATCATATATAGCTCAGGGAGTCCCTTGCTTTGTTTAAATGTACACTATTTTTTCCAATATAATTAAACTGGATTATTATTTTCATCCTTCATCAGGAAATGATGGATGTGAAGCAATTTATTGACAAGCATCTACCTCCAGTTGACGGAGAAACTGTGTGACAAGCCTTCTGTTAAATGTACCAGCATCATCTGTATTAGATTGCTTCTTTTCATGCAGCTGTTTTAAAGCATCTTTGTGCCTACAGTGTTACCTGTATTGCAAAGAGTTGATAACTTCATTGGGAAATGATGCTCTTTTCAGACTTCATTGGCCATGGTGTAGATAAAAGGCAGAGGAAAGGCATGTTGAAATATAATTAGGCATACTCTTATTGCTCCAAATTAAAATTCCATTGATAACTGAATACCTCTTATTATAAACAATAGTTTAAACAGAAATATTTATGTCCAAGATTTGTTTTATTACTGCTTGCTAAAGTGACACTCATGTATTGTACATACAGTATGTAGTATGTAAAAATAAGCATGCAGTGGTAGAATATGTATTCTTAAGGTTTAAATTTAATATTATTGCATGTGCAAGAAAAGACTTCCAGTATTCAGATTATCTCTACATTTGAAATACTATTTCCTCTCTTAAGTGTGTCCTAGGCTACTTAGAAATCTTGTAAGAAGTACTTGATCTCTAGACAGTTTCCTACTGAACTGCCCGTAATAAAAAGAAATGTAGTAGATATCATTAACTAAAGAATTTTTATATAAGATTTTTAATAAATTGGAATTGCACATTACTAGAACTTCCAGTGTGCTGTAAAATGTGAGCCCTTACAGATTCTTTTAAATAGCCTGGTAAATTTTGTAATTGAGAAATCAACATGAGAAAATATATTTGTGAACAATTTCCTTTAAATTGTTTGCTTAGAAATTAGGCAAGATGCTCTAATTGTACATTCACTGATATAATGGAGCACTCTTGACATGACAGAGTGGCTTTTCCTTTTGATTTTTTTAAAATAAAGCTTGAAGTTCTTGTCAAAACAAAAATGTATTGATACCTAACAACAAGCTGTGGCTAATGTCTGATAAAAGGAAAATATCCTGTTTTACAGCTTGTAGTGTAAACACACAAACACCCCCCCCCCCAAAAAAAAAGCTTGCTTAGGACACAATTCTACACCTGGTTTAGACAGAAAAAAGTCCTCCAGTTCCCAGCATGCCCCAAGTGGAGCATGCTGGGAGTTGTAAGACTTTTTCCTATCCAAACTTGCATAGGATTGGCCTTTAGTAACTTGCATAGCATTAGCTTCAGAATTGTTCTACAAATAATATTACAGATTTGAGAGATGGAGGTAGGATTGTAACTATGGGAGAAAGTGGAAATGTGCTCTTTTAGACCCCACTATTTTGTGTATTGCCTTAGTTTTACACAGTTCCTCCACTGTGCTGATTTGCATTAAGATCACATTGCTAGTACATACCATGCTTACTGATGCTGAAATTACTATTGCTAGGGTTTCTTGTTCTGTTTTGCTTCATAGATATGATTTCATTTTTCAAAGCATAGACATGCATCTAACCTCAGTCACTTTATTATGACTATTTAAGACAAGCATTTAATTAGTAAGAACTGCAGCTGAGATTACAGTATTCCAAGTATGTTTGATCTTTTCTTGTCTATCTTGTGGTTTTGCCCTGCTTTGTACCTCACATTCCTTGACCTTTGCTGGGGCTTCTGTAGCCTGTCGGACTAAAGATCATCTGTATACCAGCATAAGTGAGCAGGAGAGCTGTTCTTGGACATTGCCATTTCAGGTTGCAAGAAAGAACCATATTCCAGTGTTTCTCCTTAAGGAGAACTTCCTTGCATGCATATGGTAGGGAGATTTTAACCAGACCATTTCCCTAAAATCCTAATTTCTCAAAGGAGGATGTTTAATGGAGCATTAAAAGATGCACCCTCTGTATTTGTATATTGAAGCAATACAGTTCAGGAAAAGCTACATCATTTGAATGCTGAATAGAACTTGGTCCGTTGAAACAGTACAGTCAAAGCATTTATAGTTAAAAGTTTCCCTGCTGAGATATTTTAGTAGTGGGGACCTCTGCTAGAACTCTGCACAAGTTGGTGAATGTGGATTCTGAATATGTAACCAGTATGCAGAATCTAGCAGAGCACTTATGCCAATGCCATTCTTTTTTGTGCTACTGATCCTCTTCAGGGGATGAGTCCTGCTAATTGCATTGCACAAATGGGACCCACCCACACAAGGGAGACTTAGCACTTAACAAAAGTCCTGAAATAAGCAGGAATGCTCCTTTCTGGAAAAAGGAGGTCCAGCAGCACTCCTTTATGCAAGCTCCATTCACTTGCCTCATTCTAGAAACAAAATGATTCTGCTTGTTTTGGGTTGCCTTGTAAGCATTAAATTACCGTTACACAAGTGGTGTAGACCTGCTGTGCAATATGGGGGTATAAGTGCCCTGTAAGATTCTACTGTTTCTCAATGTATGTCCTGTTTTTACTGGAGAATACTCTTCTGTATAAATATTTGCTCCAAGAAGAAAATACTCTGACATTGTTCAATCACTTTCTAATAACGTGTGCAAGTTTTCAGAACTGTGTTTTCTTAACAGGAGGTAATCTACTCAACTGTGTTTCTTATAGAATAGTCACTGCATAGATATATGGTATTTCTCAAAAATAAAAGTACAAATAGAAGTTTTGATTTACTATATCAGTTTAAAGAATTTGTGAAACTACCGAAATCAAAATGGTAATTCTGGTAAAATAAGGATGTTTAGTTCACTATGGAATTTGACATCTAACATTTGCCAAAAATCAAATTTTGATATCTAATATAGATCACTTTTAATTAAAATATTTGTGTGAAATACTTAATTGCCAAATTATTAATTGTATATCACAACCCAACTGCTGTGACAATAAAGGTAAAACTGATGGCTTCATTGGAAATTTTGCCCTGATAAGAGTGTAGCTTTTGGGTTTTCCTGAAGTATTGTATAATGTCCAATGCAGTGATTTGTTGAAGGAATACTGTATTCTGTGACTTGTATTTTATAGGTTAATTGTTTGCCTTAATGAAGTGTATTGAACTTCATTAAACAGCAAAACGCATCTTTTTATAAATAGGTGCTATTGATCCTCAAATATAGTTACATATAAGAATGTATGTATAGGATGTTAATGAAGCCATATGTTTAGGTCAAGATATTTTATAAAGTACTACTTTAATTTGGCTTTCCTTTATCCTCAGTTGTAGAAATCCATGGTTAAATCTTGATTTTGTATTACCTGTTTACAGTAAGAAATCTGTTGTTGAACTGGCCTTCTTGTAGTTGATCATTGTAATCTTTCTGTTACTGTGGAATAAATTCTGAACAATCAATATATGAGTTAATTCTTGTTGCAGCCCTTTTGCTGTTACTTTTTTTGGCAGCTTTAAAAATAGTACAAAAAGTAGGTGAATATTTCAGATTTTAAAACATGGCAAAATTGTTTGCTTGTGGCTTCATATTACATCAGAAATGTACTGAAAAGCAACATATATAGCATACAAAAATGAAGGAAACACTATGTATCTTCATATATCTTCACTTCAACTGGGCAAAGTAAAGTCCTTCCAAGGCATGAGCTCAAATATGCATTGGACTAAATAGCTCTGGTAGCTAAATCAAATTTTGTAGTGGCCAGGATCCCACCCCTTTGTTTACCATTTGAGAAAAGGAACAGCCCTTACTTTTTTCCCTAGCTGCAAGTTTCAAACTTGAGAAGTGTAGATGGTTCCTAAGTTTCAGCCTTAGCCTCTTTTCCTTCAGTTAGAAACTGAAGAATCATCCCTTCATTTGAGGTAGATAGCACAATTAAAAGATGCATTTACAGGAGAACTACAGCTTGTTAGTTTATTATTTTAATCTGGAGTTCAGAAACACTCAGAATATTTCTTGTATGGTGGTTCTTGGGCAAGACCAAGCTTTTGTATGCTGGTGAAAACATGTTCTCATGAATATTGGATGTATATACCTTTCTGATAAATTTGTGCCTTTTAGCAGTTGCAGAAGAGGGAAAGTATATAGAAACATAGGAAGTCAGACAGGTCCTCCTGGGCCATCTAATCTGACCATCAGCACAAGGCAGCTCTGCTCATATAATATCTAACATGTGGGTGTACAATCTAATGGGCCCTCCACCATCACCTGTGGAAACTCATTCCATCGCTTGGGGGTCCTAACCATCAGGAAGTACTTCCTGCCATCCAGCCTAAAGCCTGGTTCCTTTAGCTTTGCTCCACTAGATTGCATTCTTCCCTCCACCACAGGGGAGAACAGGTCTTGACCACCTACCTTGTAACACCCCATCACATACCTGGAAGAAGCTATAAGAGCCCCTTGGTGTCTCCTCCAAGCTGAAAACTTCCAGTACCCTCAATTTCATTTCAAATAGCATCCCCCATGCCCCCAATTCAGCTACCATCCTTGTGGCCCTGCACTGAATTACTATATAATGTTCTCTTCATACAAGTCCTCACGTTTGGATTGCAATAAACCTGAAAAATACTTGGACCATGTACAGACCTCTCTAATCAGGTAAGAGTTGGATGATAGTAGCATATTACACACCCCAACTGATAAAATGTGATTATTCCTCTCGTATAATATGCCAATTTGGTTCAAATTAATTCATATACTCCATATCTATCTCCACTACAAACAGAAGGCATCACAGAAGGGCTTTACATGACATTTTTGGGTGTTCAAGGTATATAATTTTGTTATAAGCTGCCCCAAAGCTTTTTGCAAATGGGGCGGCATTGAAATCGTTTAAATAAAAATAAATAATCTCAGATACCAAGAGTTTCTTACCTGCCATTACCATAGGAGAGCAGCCTGTCATCTCTTACGTTAATAACTGCTGAAAGCTAAACCAGAAGCATTGTAGCTCACAGTTCAAACTACAACTTGAAAACAATGGCATAGATTTCATAGAATACACTGGGATTCTGCCTTTTATACAATTCTTTCAAGTAAAGTTGCATGCTAGTGGAAAAGGAAAATCCACCTGATCTTGTAAAACACTTTCTGGTGTTTAATCAGAAATAAGTAGCGCAAAGTTAATTTTACAGAGGAAAAAATTAGCACCTGTTTTATGACAGGTGCTGATCCAAAAGAGGCTGATGGAAGAATGAAACAGCTTTGATCTGACCTCATGACCCTGAATACACCACGTCAGAAGAGACGCAGATTTTTTGCTTTCCGCTACATAATATAATGCACGAAGTGGAAAAATGTAACGAAGTCCTAATGTACAGCGGGTTTTATTTTTAAAATTACAACTTGTACTGAAAAGCAGATTCACAAATCAGTTTGTGCACCTGATTTTCACGAACAGCTGGCCCTTTTAATGCTAAACATAATTCCTAATCTAGTTTTCCGGCACCATTTCCCGATCTGAATCGTATCTCTTTTTCGCCCGGGACCAGCCATAGCAGAAAATAGGTTTGCATACGGCTTCGAGCGCAAGCCCGTCGCCTTCCTTGAAAACGCAGCTCTCGCCACCCTCCAGCCCCCCCCCCCCGGCTCTGGAAGTGCGGGGCAACGAGAAAGACATCATGTCTACCTTCCCTCCTCCCCATTCACAGGTGCTGCCAAGCAGGGGCGCGGCGGCGGAGCAGCGAGAACGCGCCTCCCTCGCTTTCCGCCAGAGCGGAGCTTCACAGGCGTCAACATTTGTGTTGTTGCAGGCATAGACTAGATTCCTCCATTTCCGCTGGGCGGGCACAGCTGTTAAGGGTAAAAGAAGCCCCACCTTTTCTCCCTCGCTCGCTCTCCCATCCTCCTTCCATCGATGTGTTCGGCTAGCCGGAGCACCGTCTGGCTCCCTTTCCCCAAGCCTTGATGAGCGCAGCCTGGCACCACAGCTGCCGAGCTGTCGCTTTTGGTCTGGCCGGTTTATGTCTTCCGCGGCCCCGGAGGTGGGTTGACGTCTCCATCTTTGCTTAAGCCGAAGGCTCCGACATTCCCAGAGGCAGTTGTTGAACTCCCCTCATCATCGCTGTCCCGCGGAGGGTGGCGCGCGTCGGGCAGCCGCCATGAGCACCGAAGAGGAGATCATTCGCATCGCAAAGAAGATGGACAAGATGGTGCAGAAGAAGAACGCGGTGAGATGATGAACTTGGAGGGAGGGGCAGGAGCTGGGAGAGGTGCCAGCGAGCCCCCCGCGCGCTCGGCTTGAACTTCTCTCCGACCAATCAGCGGCGCCGCGCGCTCAGCTGGGCGCCCGCCTTTTTCCTGACGGGGGGAAAATGAGGCGAATGGAGGGACTGCTTAGTTTGCGTTCGGTTCTTCTTTTGTGAGGCCTCAACTGTCACCTGCGCGAAGGCTCCTGGAGCCCTCGTGGGTGTGGAGGGCGGGGCGAGAGGAGGGAGCAGCCCCCGCAGCGGACGCTAATGGCAGTGCTGAAGCCATGTCTTCTGGCCCTCGTCCTTACCGTGACCCGAGGGCCAACGTTCAGAACTGGAGGCAGGATTTAGCTGGCGATATTTACCTGGCCCATAGCTGACTTCTTGACTTCCTGCAAATCGGGAGCGAAGATATCCGTTTATTCCAGCAAAAATTCAGCTGGAGCAGAATCATATTAAGCCCTCTGGGGGGAAATGCCCCTATTTCTTGGGTTTCGTTTTTAGCTTCCTTTTCTCTTTTAAAATCTACTATGCACAGCATGGTTACTTAGGTATATGATAATAGCTTCCAAAAGGCAACAGACTGAAGGTTTAGAGGCAGTTCTGATCTTAACTCTGAATTGGTTTTAGATAGAACTCATTCTTTTAGGGTTTTAGTAGTGCATTCTTTTTTAGTAGTACAAAAATGTGTTTGTGTTATGTATGTGTGCTACTTGATGAGTTAAGTCTTCTGTGAGTTATCTTTCTTGAGTTACCTTATTGTATGATTTAAGCAAGTTAACATTTGCCCATTCCATGACCTGATGCTGCATGGAGTTTGTATTTGAAAATATTCCGTACAATCTTGTGCTTAATAGAGAGTGGGTTTAATGGCAGGAATCCATCTAAATCTTGGAGACTGAAACTGTTGCTGTAGTTTAAAAAAGTTAAGAGTAATACATTTTTGTTTATTGAAAAGTGTGTTTGTCTAACTACTAACAGGGCGGCTTATTTTATATTGTATGTTTGTATTTTATTCTAATGTTTACATTTTAATTTATGATTATAATTATTTAATTTATTGTTGTAAGCCGCCCTGAGGCTTCGGCGATGGGGCGGCATAAAAATGTTTTAATAAATAAATAAATAAAATAACTAGGCCATGCATCAGTTTTACCACAAGCTAAATTAAAATCATTATCATTACTTAAATACAAATAATTGAAGCAGGATTGTTCCCCAAAGTTTGGTAGAACTGATAAGTTTTTGCAAAATCCCTGGCAAAGATACTGGAAGGCAAATCTATCTAGGGCAAAGCATTCTCTTACCACTGAGAAGACATAATTGTAAACATTGTGTAAACATTAAAGTGATGAAAATCAAAACAGCACTTTCTTGGAAGGTCTCAGATTTTCTGTAAGTAAAGGCCAGTATCTTGGAGTAAAGAAAAGTTTTGCATATGTTTGCATTTTAATGGAAAGACAAGCATACACATTCAGAGATTCTTAGATCTGCAAATGATAACCTGGGTAAGGCTAGGTTCCAGCTACCTACCATAGTGAGAATAGGCAAAGTGTATTTGATTTAAGGTACAAATATACAAAATTAGTTTTATACTAAACCTTAACATGCGACAACTTTCAGAGGTGGAATAATTTTGGAAACTGCATATCTGAATGTGTGTCCGTTTTACAAAGTGTTATGTAACCAGTACAGAAATTTTTCATAGCTTTGTTCTGAAAATGAATTCAGGAACAGGTAACAGAATAAGTTATCTTTATTTGGCTTCATCTTTGATGTAATATTTCCAGATGTTCATGGCATTCAGTTATTTTGGGAATTGTACCAGAGATGTTGCCATACTCAGTTACGTCTAAAGTCCACTTGAGTCTTGTTAAGACGGCAATGTGAAAGTCTTTGGGCATTTTTCTGTTGGGCACTACTGCTAATGGAAATTCTGTTGCATTAGTCACAATACCAATAACGTGTTGGCATGACAGAATTTTCCTGAAAAATCCATTGTGCTAAAAAACACTATTGGTGTTGGACTGCAGGGTGCTTATGCTAGTACAACATAATTTTTATTTATAATAGGTCAAATAGGATATCACCTTTTAACTATTATTGCTCATTGAAATAAAGTTATTCTGAGAAAACACACAAAACAACAATTTAGTGGTAAAAGAAGTATGTTATCATTTCTATTTATATGACCATTTAAAATTTTGCAGACTGTTCTCCTTGGTCTTTCTTTCTTTCACCTCAATTTCTTGTACATTGTAGTAACTATAAGTTCCCTGCAATAGACTTATACTTCCTGTCAGGGACCACTGGACACCTGAACGTACTTGAGGATTCAACCAGGTACCTTTAATGACTGGGTTCTCATAACACAACCCATTGCAGGTCATACAAACCTGAGACCCTTTCCACATGCTGGCTTATTTGTTGGTAACAAGCTGCCCTGACAACCCATGGCTTGTTGTAGAGGTTGTTTGATCCTAGTGACTGATCCCATGACTGGTCCAGTAAGCAGTGAGTGAGCTGCTTAGCAAAAGCAGCAAAAACACCCTTGCTGCTCTTGGAAAGTTTGCCTAAGCCACCAGCTGGGACTGCCATTCTACCGAGTACCTAAGCAACACTTTGGAACAGACATAACTGATTTGCTGTACCTTGCTGCAATCAATAATGCATATTGTTCACTGCATCATTTTACTTCCTTTCTCAAATACTTTTCATGATTTCTGAAGTGACATCTAACAACCAAGATTCTACATGCATATTCTTGTCTCCCTGCCCATTTTTTTGGGAGGAAGGGAAGAGAGGTTTTTTTTTTTTTAATTTTTTTAAGCAGTCAAAGGAAGTGGGTGGCCTCATTATTTTCATTTTCTTGAATAGACAGATGCTAGAAAGTAAGGAAAAGGTAGGGAATTGACTACTATGGGGGAGCACTAAAGGGATCTTACTGTGAAGTGGGGAAAAGTCACTTCCCTCTCTTAGAGTAGCTTTGCTCTTCCTTGACAGTTGTCTATTTGACTGCTGTAAAGTAACACAAAGTAATGAAACAAGTTTGCTGGATCTTTTGGTCAGCATCTATGGTTGGCACCTGCTGAACTTTCGCAGCAAACACTTACAGGGACATTGCCCAGGCAAGGCTTCCTGTTTGGGTTATTCTGAATTAAACAGTTGCACAAGTCCAGAAAAATAGCAAATAAAAAGGAAAAAAAAGTTTGTGCACGGTCAGTTGCATAAAACTAGTTTTAAAATATGTGACAAGCCACTGACAGCTCCTCCGGTAGGCACTTGAGGGCTTTGGAGGGGATGTCAGTGGCTGTTGGAAATCCCAAAATGCAATCCCCCTTAAAAGGCAGGGGTAAGCTGCAGCAAATGCAAAACAGCCCATAGAACAGAGTACTAATTGTAGGGTGGCTTCATCTTCCAAGAGCCCTGGGATATCTCCTGGAGAATCATGGGACAAGAGCAGCACCATGGGACAACCCATAGTGAACCCAAGTGTCAGGGTTCTCCCATATGCCACAACCATCTGAGTCTGAACTAGTAGTCAGAAGAGAAGGGTCTCTCATGTCATCTGTTCTTTAAAATTCTCCCTGGAAAGGATTGCCTGGCTTCTTGCTGACACCTAGTTGTAAGTCTGGACCACAGTTTTTTATCAAAGGTTTTGAAGGATAAAGAATTTTTGCTCCTGGACTGTAGTAATAAATTTGTGATGGACCTTTTTCAGTTTGAGTGTTTGGAACATTGCTCTTTTCTTTCAGAATGTCTTATATTTTGTTATCATCATAAGCCAGCTTGTGGCTCTGCCAGATTGAAAGAAAAGGCATATATTTTGTCAATAGCACAGCTTGTTAATATGACAATACTGATGATATACTGATGTGCATGATGGCTAAAAGATTAAGAACAACTTAATATTTCTTAATCTCTTTCAGACATCATGCACATCAGTATATCATTTTGTGTTTATCTGCAGTTAACCAGATAAAATAAGGTAGCTTGATACAGGCTGTTGGTGAGAATGGGTTGTTATTTGTACTGACATGGTAATCTTTAAAGTGATTTTTCAGAAGATGGTATCTGAAAATTTCAATGAACAAAGAAAAGATTGACCTTAGTTCAACACAAGGGGTTTTTTTTCTATCACAGGCTTGCCACATGATTCTAGAATCCTTGCACTGTTTGTATGTCTGCAAATTAAGTTTCAGTTATTTGCCCTCCTGTATGAATTGAATTGTATATTAACATCTTTTGATATACAAGAATGTACAGATATTAAATCCTTCAGTGAAAGGCATGATGGAGGTACTGAGAGTTACTTTCTGGATAGATTGCTGGTTATCATAACACCCCCTCCAAATCTGTTAGTAGAGGATTTGAACAGTATTGTAAATGCACATTGACAGTGATGTCTGTGAATGCCAGAGAATAAAGTACTGTCAAGCTTGTAAGGGTGTAAATTCTTTCAAGTCTGTAATTGAAGCAAGTGGACTTTTGCCCTTGTTAGATGATGCAAGAGAAAGGCAGATTTGGAGTGACAGTGAGATAATATTCCTTACCTGTCTAGTACTTAGTTCCTACAAAAGAAATATATTTGAATTACTGTAAACAACAAGAGGCAAGAAATAATAGGCTCTTTTTGAAGGCTTAAATATTCAGAAAATCCCCTTGAAGTGTAATTTCCATATATGCATTTAAAAGGTGCCAATGTTCAGTTCTTGTTCTATATATTCTTCAATTTAGATGGCTTCACTTTGAAATTGGTCTTGGTAATTGCTTTTTGAAATGTTGCTTGTAACAAATATTATCCAACATGATGACATGTTAAGAATTAGAAAGTAGCTTTGAGAATAAAATATTTTCCATAGAATGTTAACCTGCACATAATGCTAAGCCAGGTTTCCAGTGAAAGCAGGAATGAGAACACTGTGGCCCTCAAGAAGTTGTTGGACTGCAGCTTCCATCAGCACTAGTCAGCATAGCCCATGCTAAGATTTAAGAATTGTGGTCCAATTACATCTGGAGGTCCACATACTCCCCAACCCTGGACTAAGCTAAACAAACCTTGGGTCTTCTATCCATGGTTTAGAGTTAAGTGCAAACTTGGGAACTCTGGCTTGACTCTCCCATGAAAAGCCAGACAATAAACTGTGGCTTAATGACTCTGGTTTGTCAAGAGTTACTGGTCTCTAGGTGGTTTGTAAGTAGGGATGGGCAATACTAGAAATTCTGTTTTGTTTAAGCACAACATTATTGAGCAGTATGTCTAATCTGACAAAAGGTGGAAGATTGCCCCTGATTTTTTTGGGTTTTTTTTTTTTTTACTTTTTGGGAGTAATTTGCATATATTTAAATTAGTCTTAAAATCTGTGCAAATTGCACTTAAAAAATTGGTCAGTCACCTGCACACCAATGAGGGTTAGCAATATCCTGGGAAATATTTCCTGTCAATTTGCAGGAGGAACTTTCCAATAACACTGGGAAAACAAGGCAAAAAATACATTAAATTTTTGCTTTGTTTTTCTGTGGCAGCTGTCAAAAGGTGAGCTGTCAAGTGGAAGCAAAGCTGAAGTGGATCTTTGCTTGCAAAATGGGGTGTCAGTAAATTACTCCCTTCACAGCAAGAACCTTTTGTGATTATGACATGTCTCAGTGTCCTGTATCTTTTCCACTTCTTCCCAAGCCTCTTAGGTGTTCAGAAAACTGGAAAATTGTGAGCAGATATATATGGATTAGAGTGCTGGACTAGATGGACCCACTGGACTGAGAAACAGGATCCTGCTGTACCACACTACCTGGCGATATCACATGTGACAGAGTTAGGCCTTTATTAATCATCATTTAGGATGGGGTAGAGTCTCAAAAGTAAAGCTGTATGTAATTGTCAGTTGTAATTGCAGGCTTCTGTGGCTAAAATAAACAGGGTAACTAGTGTAGCGTCTCTTATGACTCCAGCTCCATGTTGGAGATACTGTCACTTGCATGCCTATCTTGTCATGGTGCATGCAAAGGAACGGGAGCTTGCCTGGAACACACAGGTCAACAATCCATGGAGGAACAGCAGGGAGCTGTTGCTGCTGATCTTGAAGTAGGCCTTTGTTGTAATTTGCCTTGGAATGCAATGTGGGATGGACCCTGTATTTATGAAAGAGGAATCCTATGGAGAACAAGGGGTGGAACAGATGAAGTAATAAGCAATAGGTAGCAGTTGGTACACATACTCATATTCCCAGCACCTGGATACATACTAGTTATTTGAGAGAGAGAGAGGAGTGGAGTCTCTGCATCCCTCTGTGGAAGGCAAGGGGGACTACAGACTGGGAATATACTTCTTACCCTTGAAGGTTTCAGTGACAGTCTGTATGGTGACAAGTTTTTTCTTCTGTAAGCATCAGGGTTGTGAGCCAGCAAGACAAAAAGTGGTCATGTGTAATTAACCAGTAGTTGCAATGGTTGGGGGGAATGCCTGTCATTTGCCAACAGGAAGCATACCTGTTTGTGAGGATGAGTGTTTCTCCTGCATGTAGGAGGCACCACTCTGTAGAGATGGAGAGTATGTCGGAGCTGTTTGGTGCAGACAAAGCACAGTGTTTATATATGGCAGCAGAGATGGGACATTCACAGCTGGCCTTCTTCCTTACCCATGTTTCTGCATTGCCAGCTGTTGGAATAGCACTGGGCTTTCGTGTCTTCGAGTTCCAAAGTGAGGTATCTGTGAACATTGTAGGCAAGTAAGTGTTCCTAATAAGTTTCCCTGTGTGTCCTAAGGCCAGTTTCCTATAACCAAAATGTCTCCTTCTGGACCCTTAAGTGCACATAACAAGATACCAGAGAAAAATAGGCCCATACTGTACACACTGTTGGTTGAGCTATATCCCTGAGTGGGGTTTATGTTCCAGCTTTGGTGCTGTGATTGGACACCTAGTTACTCTGCTCTGTCATGAAGTGGGAGATGTAGTCATTGACACAAGGGTATAAAAATAAATTTAAAAAGTCAGTTTTCCTTAAAGACAGTAGGAGGTATTCTTTTTGTACTAAGTGTGGGTCTATGTAAAGTTGTGCTAATGGAAAAGGAGATGATAGCCATAGATTGGAGAAGTCTTGTCTCACTAATCTGTTGGAGTTCATTGAGAGTGTCAGTAAATATATAGACGGGCAATCCAGTAGACATTGCTTACTTGGATTTTCAAAAGGCTTTTGACAAACTCCCTCCTCAAAGGGTCCTGAGCAAACTAAGCAGTCATAGAATAAAGGATGTGGCCTCTTAGGATCACTGACTGGTTAAAGAAGACAGAGGATGGGAATTAATGGCAGCTTCTCCCAATGGAGTTAGGTTTCCAGTGGATTCCCACAGCGTTCTATATTAGGACCAGTGTTTTTCAACCTATTCATAAATTATCTGCAATTAGCAAAGAAGTGGATAATTTTTCGGATGACACTAAACTTTTAGGATGGTTAAAATTAAAAGGGATCTTAAGGAGCTTCCAAGAAATTTCTCCAAGCTCAGAGAATGGGGATCAAAAAGTTATATACAGTTCAATATAAGTAAGTGTAAAGTAACGCCTGTTGAGGCAAAAAACAAAACAGTTTCAAATCTATACTGATGGAATCTGAACTAGGAGTGACTAGCATGAAAGGGATCTTGGGGTAACAGTGGACAGCTCAGAGAAAATGACAGGTGCTGTGAAGAAAGCATGCTTGACATAATTAGGAATGGAATAAAAAAATTGAACTGTCAAAATCTTAATTCCCTTATACAAATGGTTGGTACAACCACACTTGAAATACTGTGTTCAGTTCTAGTTGTTTTACCTAAAAAGGACACTAGGGAGTTGGAAAAAGTACAGAGAAGGGCAACAAAAATGATCAGGGGGGCTGGAGAAGCTTCCCCGTGAGCAGTGGCTAAAACAACTAGGGCTGTTTACCTTAGAAAAAAGGCAAGTAATGGATCACATGATAGAGGTGTTTAGAGTAATGCATAATGTGGAGAATTTTTTCTTCATTCACCATGACATTGGAACCTCTAGTCATCTCAATCAACATGGTTGATGGGAGGTTTTGAACAGATAAAAAGTACTTTTTTGCACAGCCTATAGACAGACTGTGGAATTTGTTGCCATGGGAACTGATGGATGGCTTTAAAAGGGGACTGGGCAATTTCATGAGGGAAGAACTATTGTAATTACCAGCCTTGCTGGTTATGCACTTCCTCCTTTACCAGAGGTGGCATGCCTGCATACATCAGTTGCAGAGGAGCTTGAGCAGGAGGAGGTCTTGCACCCATCCTGCTTGAGTGATCCTTAGGGCAGCTGGTTTGCTGCTCCTCTGCATTAAATGTAATTAACAATATTCAACAACTGGGCTTTTAAAAGCTAGTGAAAATGTGGTGGAACAGTAGTGCACAAGGAATGTCTGAAGAGATAAACTGAATCAGTACATTTCCTTCTGGGTTGGCTTTAATTCTGTGTAAGATACTGTAGAAATTGCTATTCAGCGGACAGAAACATGCACACACACTCTCATACCAGCAAGTGAAATCATTTGTTCTGCACATAACTAGATAGAGACATTCAATTGAAGATTGGCTAGTTTAATTAGTTGCTTCTGGAGCATGTACCTGACATTATCAGGATTAATTCTTTAGGTTGATCAAGAGTATTTTCACCAAAATTCCAATTAGGACTTGGGCACTGTGATTTTGCTTGAAAGCAAGGTGCCTGCTTCCCGTATCACTGAATTTCCCTTTGTTGATGTTATGGAAATGTTGGTTTATATAACTGCAACAGCAATAGCACAGCTTTACAACTGGTGTTTGATCTTTCCCTTGGAGATGAATAATATAGCTGTGATGCTAAATATTATTTTAAATGTATGACAGTATGCATATTCAGTTTTAACAATATGTTTTACAGGCTGGGGCTCTTGATTTACTCAAGGAACTTAAGAATATGCCCATGACTCTGGAATTGTTACAGGTATGTGTTTCCAATTCTTCCATAAGGCTTGCGTACATTTTATTATTATCCAGCACCCATTGGGAAAGTATTTTTTCTTCCTGGCATAGGAAAAGAGAAGATGACACACCCTTATTACTAGGGTTGCAAGCATATTTTAGGAGAAAAACTGGCATATTGTATACTCACTCTACACTGTCAGTTTTATAAAGGGAACTATGGTGCATGTTTATTGATTTGGTTTGTATTACATAGACAATACATTGTAGGTTTATCTGAACCCAGACTGCTGCTTTCAGGGTGGCTTAATTTTTTGGGAACAAGCCATGCTGACAATACACTGCTTCTTCTAGAGGTTATTGATACCACAATGGGTTGTTATGTTGTCTGAATCTGGGAGAGCTATTCATTTAGCTGGTCAATTTTAATGTAATAAAGACTGTAGTCAGAAGCCTTTTGTCTTGCTTGGAAGGAGAGAGGAAAGAAAGGCCTGCCTCAACAATGACATTGCTATGGAGGAAATCTTGTTGTCACTCTCTTTTATATAGTATTGCTCTTTTATCTATGCTTGAACTTGTTTTTATATTTAAATAAGAATACAGACAAATCCAATTTATATAAGAATTGCAAACTGAATGTGTGCCTAAAGGAAAGGCATAATCTTGTAACAAATACAAATTATGTCATTGTTCAATTATAAAATTTTATGTCTTTTCTTTTTAACACTGTAGATGGCAGTAGCACTCTGTATTTTAATTCTCTGCTTAACTATAAAGTTGTCCCTATAGAGTAAGCTAGTCTTATTAATGAATAATAGTTTTAAGTATTGAACAGTATAGACATAAGTAAAATAAAGCAATGAAAATAAAAATTTGAAAGCCCAGTAAAATAAATCTTATTGACCCAAGACATGTTTTGGGGGGGCAGATACCTAGGATGCTTAGGTGGGGACACTTCATCCAACAATTCCAATCTTGTCTTAGAAGATAAAAATAAAAGATAAGGTAAAATAAGTGACAGACATATTTACAGTCTTCCTATTTGTAACAAGAAGTTCTGTTCTGTACAGTCTCTATTCTGTAAAAAGTGTTATCAAAAGTGTTGTGATCAGGCCTATAATAACAGTTAAACAATAGCAGCAATCAGATACAGGTGGCAGTATTAACATATACCTGGGAGACTCCTCCATGGATCACTGCCTTGTCGTGGTGAAGGGGCTTGCATAGCTTAATGAAGCTATGAGCTATGCCGTGCAGGGTCATCCAAGACGGACTGGTCATAGCAGAGTCAAGGCTATGATTTTTTCAGTTGCAATGTATGGCTGTGAAAGCTGGACCATAAGGAAGGCTGAGTGCCAAAGAACTGAGGCCTTTGAATTGTGGTGCTGGAGGAGACTCCTGCGAGTCCCTTGGACCGCAAGGCGATCAAACCGGTCAGTCCTAGAGGAGATCAACCCTGACTGCTCTTTAGAAGACCAGATACTGAAGATGAAACTCAAATACTTTGGCCACCTAATGAGAAGGAAGGACTCCCTGGAGAAGAGCCTAATGCTGGGAACAATTGAGGGCAAAAGAAGGGGACGGCAGAGAATGAGGTGGCTAGATGGAGTCACTGAAGCAGTTGGTGTGAGCTTAAGTGGACTCTGGGGGATGGTGGAGGTCAGGAGGGCCTGGAGGAATGTTGTCCATGGGGTCGCGATGGGTCGGACACGACTTCATGACTAACAAGAACAACAAAAATAGGGAGAAATATATTAATATCTAAAATGAGCCATTTCTGACAATTTCTGATTCAAAAATAATTTCAAATCAAACTCAACATTAATTAAGGTGTTCTCGGTACTGTATACCAGTATAGCCTGTAAGAATTACTATTACAGTGCCTTCCAGGAATATTCATCCTCCCCATACTTACAACATGAAATGGAAAAGGATTTAATTGGCATTGTTACCACTTGATATGCATAAGAAATTTGGCATTGTCAAGGTGAAATTATTTTTATTGTGGTACAAAAGTTAAACAGGAACAAAGTCATGGATAGCTGAATTTCCTGCAAGCTACTGTAGTTCCTGAGTAGGTTCTTAATTTAAGAAAAGCTGGATAAAAGGCTGGAGGCAAAAGTTTAAACTCCCCTGGCTCTCAAACATTAAAGTGGAGCCTTGGGTAAGTGGAACTGTACTTAACTGGAAAAAAATAACATTTTGGCTACAACTTTAAGCCATGAGTGCACAGTTAGGAGACTTCCATATTTCAGCCTGCTGTTCTCAGCTTCTCTCACCATTGGCTGTGCTGGCCAGCACTGATGAGATTTGTAGGCCAAAACACCTGGAAGTCCACCCATTCTTTAAACAGAAGGCACTGAAAATTAATTCTAGTTTCGTGCCTGACCTCCAAGTGCATGCAATTTTGCATGCTCTACAATATTATTTGAGATTCTTGTTTACTTCCTTTTGTATCATTGTAAATACCTATTCAATTGCTGATATTTGTTTGTTTTGTTTACAGTCAACAAGAATTGGAATGTCAGTGAATGCAATACGCAAGCAAAGCGCAGATGAAGAAGTTACATCTTTAGCAAAATCTCTTATTAAATCATGGAAGAAGTTATTAGGTAAACTGGCTGAAGGCTTTACCCATTTCTGTTATTCTTTTTTTTCTAAGAAAGATTTTTAACTAAGAACTAGAAAACATCAACCATCAAATACATCGGATGTACTGGGTCAGCCCCCATAACATATCTTTTTAATATTCTGTAATGATACTCAAATCGATTTATAAAAATTTAAAAACATCTTTAAATCTAAGCCAAGTCCTGTTTCTCCAGCCAATCATAAAAAAGGTCCCAAGTTTGATAGAAGTCAGTATCTTCTTTCTTCTTCAGTAATAGAGTCAATCTGTCCATTTCTGCACAGTCCAGAATCTTTTTTAAAATCAGTTCCTCCATGGGTAGTTCCTCATTCTTCCAGTATTGAGCAAGCGCAATCCTCGCGGCTGTGATTAAATGTAGCATCAAATACATTTCTTCTTTGCTAATATTTTCCAGTATAATGCCTAACAAGTAAATTTCAGGTTTAAAAGCTAAGGGTTTTTGTAGCATTTCCTCAAGCCATTTATGTATTTTAATCCAATACTTTTTCACATATTCACAGGTCCACCACATATGGTAAAAAGTACCCACATCATGTTTACATTTCCAACATCCGTTTGACATATTTGGAAACATCTTAGCTAATTGACTTGGTGACAAATACCATCTATAAAACATTTTATATAAATTTTCTTTATATGAAGTTGCTAAAGTACCTTAATATTTCTCTCCCATAGCTTTTGCCATAATTCAATATTGTATCCAAAATTTTGTGCCCATGTTATCATAGTTTCCTTAAACTGTTCCCCTTCCATTTTCCTGTCAAGTAAGAACTCATAAATTCTTTTAATCATTTTCTCATCTGTTTTTAGCATCACTTGATCAAAGGCTGTTAGGTCTTTATAAAGCCCCCATATTTTACAGTCTTTAGCATATCTTGATTGCATCTGCACCTTATACTACCACGAGATATTGAGTCCCTGTTCTTGTATTTCTTGATCTAGTTTCAGGCCTCCATCCTTATCCAAAATATCATCATATCTTATGATCCCTTCAAACTTCAATACATTTGGATACACAAAAGCTTCCATAGGTGAAAGCCATCTTGGTAATTTATTATACAATTTTGACTGTAACTTTTCCCACACGGACATTAATGATCTTCTGATAAAGTGACTTAAAAAAGTCCCATGAGACTTAACCTTCTCGTGCCACATATAAGCATGCCAACCCAAGTCTCATGGTGGTATAAGGTGCAGATGGAAGGGGAACAGGTTAAGGAAACTATGATAACATGGGCACAAAATTGGCATGCAAATGGGTTGGCATGCTTATATGTGGCACGAGAAGGTTATTTGCAAATCATGACATTCAAGATACAAAATTCTCTTATTTTGCAAGGTTTTCCATTCTTTTAGCCAAGTTAAAATAGACGCGTGATAGTACAACATCCAATCAGGAAGACCAAAACCCCCGTTCTTTTTGGTTTCCTGCAGCATTTTTAATTTAAACCTTGATTTCTTTTTTATCCAAATAAATCTCGAAATTTGAGGATTTAAATCCTCAAAAAACTTTTTATCAATTTTTACGGGAATCATTTGGAACAAAAACAAAAGTTTTGGCAGTGTGTTCATTTTAACCAGTGCAATTCTTCCCATCAAAGACAATTGTAAATTGGCCCATTTTTCCAGATCACCTTTAACATCCTTCAATAATTTATCATAATTGTCTTCTTTCAAAGTTGTGCATTTAGCTGTAAGATAGATTCCCAAGTATTTAACCCTTTTAACAATCTGCAAGTCCACTTGTCCTTGGAGTCTTTTTTTCTGATCTTGTGTAAGATTTTTAACTAAAAGTTTTGTTTTTTCTTTATTTATTTTCATCCCCGTAACCTCACCATATTCTTCAATCCGTTGTAAAAGTTTAGGGATTGTTACAAAAGGTTCCTCTATTATAAAAACCAAATCATCTGCGAATGCTTGCAATTTATAATTTTCATTCCTAATTTTAGTACCTTTAATGTTCTCGTCTTCCCTGACATTTCTATTCAAGACCTCTAAAGTCAGAATGAACAATAGAGGTGACAATGGACATCCTTGCCTTGTACCCTTTTGCATCTCTATAGCCCTTGTAAGTTCTCCATTAATTAAAATCCTGGCCGATTGTCTTTGATAGAAGCTTGATATCGCATTCATGAATTTTCCCCCAAACTCCATTTGCGCCATCTGTTGCTTCATGAATTGCCAATTAACATTATCAAAGGCTTTCTGGGCATCCAAAAACAGTAGGACCATTGATTTTTCCTTGTGTGTCTCATAGTATTCTAGAATATCCAAGACAGTCCTCAGATTGTTCTTCATTTGTCTTTTAGGCAGGAAGCCATTTTGGTCTGGATGAATAAAGTCTATTAAAAACTTCTTCAACCTTTCTGCCAATATAGAGGCAAAAATTTTATAGTCCACATTTAGTAATGATATAGGTTTGTAATTCTGAATCTGTGTTAAGTCCATATCTTCTTTCGGTATTAATGTGATATTTGCCTCTGTCCAAGTGTCTGGTATTTTAGCATTTAACAATGCTTCATTACATATATCTTTAAGAAATGTAGCAAAAACTCCCTCAAAAGATTTAAAAAATTCAGCTGGAAGCCCATCCGGACCAGGGGTTTCATCGTTCTTTTGTGGCATGATTGCCTCTGTTATTTCCATAGTTATTACTTCTTGATTCAATAATTTTTGATACTTTTCTGGTAGTTTTTGGTAAGTCTCCCTTTCAAATGTGTTCTTTTACCTTCTCGATTAAAATCTCCTCCTTCCGGTATAACCTTGCAAAAAAATCTTCAGCTGTTTTCTTAATTTGTGTATTTTGTACCTGTGGTCATCCTTCTCCATCTTTCAGTTTCGAAATCAGTCTCTTCTCTCTCTCTTTTTTTACTTTATATGTTAGCCATCTCTCTGGTTTATTAGCATTTTCAAAAAAATTCTGTTTAGCCCGTTTTATTTGCTTAGTAAGTTCATTTGTATCCAAGAGATTCAATTTGTGCTTTAAAGTATTCATTTGGACCCTAAGATTTCTTTTTGTTGGATCCTCCTGCAGTTCTTGTTCCCGTTTCCTCAGTTCTTCTACTAATGTTGCTTGCTCTTGCTTTTTCTTTTATTTATTTTTGCTGAGTAAGTTATCAGTCCCCTGACATAGGCTTTAGCTGTATCCCAGACATTCTGTAAAGAAGTTTCTTTTTTTTATAATTTTTTAATTAAAATTTTAAACTAACACTAAAAACATCAAACATCACATACATCGGATTTACTGGGTCAACCGCCTACTACATATTTTTAACATTCTAAAGTCAAATTCAAATCAAGTTATAATAATTTAAAAACATCTCTAACATCTCTTTATGCCAAGTCCCGTTTCTTCAGCCAATTATAGAAAGAATCCCAAGTTTGATAGAAGTCAGTATCCTCTTTCTCCTTCAATGATAAAGTCAGTCTATCTATTTCTGCACAGTCCAAGATCTTTCTTACAATCAATCCATCGGTGGGCAGCTCCTCACTTTTCCAATATTGAGCAAATGCAATCCTCACCACTAAAGAAGTTTCTTCTGCTTTGTTTATTTGAAAGAATATTTGCATTTCTTTGCTTATCTCTTCTGTAAATTTTTTATCTTTTAGTAACGCTTTATCTAAGCTCCATCTGGGCGTCCTTGCAGCTCCTTTCAGTGATTTAAATACAGGATTATGATCTGCCCAGACATTTGTCTCCATTTCAGCTTCTATCAAATCTGGAACTAAGTCTGGAGTTATCCAAACCATATCAATTCTAGACCATGACCTATGTCTGTTTGAATAAAAAGAATAATTGGCAGAAGTTGGGTTTTTATGCCTCCAGGCATCTATCAATCTGAGTTCTTCAGTCATGTTGGAACAAGACTTTGGAAGCATCCTCCTACCCTTTTATCCCTTACTTTTACTCTTGTGATCGATTTCCTTATTCACAATTGCATTAAAATCACCCATTACACACATAGTCTGATAGTCCACTTGTAAGAGTAACGTATGTAGTTTTTGGTAAAAAGTTTCCTGATGGTCATTTGGTGCGTATATTGCCACTAAGAGCACCTTTTTAAGTTTAATTGTAATTTCTACAATCAAGATCCTACCATCCTCATCAGCAAGAATATATTTAGAGTCCAATTTTTTTTAACATATAGTGCTAAACCTCTTTTGTTTTGCTATGCAGTAGATATGAACAATTTTCCCAGTTTTAAACATTCTAGAAGTTTAACACATTGTTTCTTAATATGTGTTTCTTGTAGACAAATTATATCTAACTTTCATTTTTGAAGTTGAGCAAAAATCCTTCTTCTCTTAGATGGTCCATTTAGTCAATTAACATTTAAGGAGAACAATTCAATTTTCCCTTCCTTTTTAAGAGCCATATTTAATAGAATTATCTACTTATTCTTTGCCTTTACAGTTCTACCTTTTTTTTCTCCTTTGAGTGCAAAGTCTGTACTTCTTGTTGTGAATCAACCTGCAGTATTTCTCCTTCTTCAGAATGGTATGCTGTTACTTCCATTGCTTCGGCACCTTTTTCTCCTTCTTTAGAGACGACAGGGTCCTCCTCTTCCAACATGGCTCTACATTTTTCATAGAACTCTTGTGCTTTAAGAACTGAATCCAATTTATATCTTACAGAGTTCCATGTGAACAATATTCCTTCTGGTGTTAGCCACTTAAAGATAATCTCTTTCTTGATCAGTTTTGTAGTAAGGAATAGATATTTCTTTCATCCCTCTTAAAACAGTCAAGAATTTTATTTATTTATTTATTTATTTATTTATTTATTTAAAGTTTTTGTATGCAGTCCCCATTGCTACATAGCCTCGGGACGGCTCACAACAACAAATAAATAAAACCAATAGAATTACAATTACAATGAAAACTTGGAAACACACTGGCTGCATAATTAAAACTATAAATATTAAAGATTATTAAAATAGTGTTTGAATAAAAAGGTCTTGGCCTGGAACCAAAAAACAAATAACTACGGCGCCAGGCAAACCTCTCTGGGGAGCGCATTCCACAGATGGGGTGCCACCGCAGAGAACGCCCTCCTCCAGGTACTTTGCTTCCTGATATCTCTTACAGAAGGCTCCCGGAGGAGAGCCTCTGCTGCCGATCTCAAGGGGCAGGAGGGCAAATTTGGCCTGAATGACTGAATGATGATGCGAACTGTTACAGAATTTCTTTGTTTTTTAAAAGATTCTCTCAAATCAGTGAATTCAGACTGATCTTCAATAAAATAAAAAGTTGGTAAGCTACAATAGTTAAAATAAAATATTTGGGTATTAATTATTTATTACATTTGTATACTGCCCAATAGACAAAACTTTGTTTCATCTACATCAATCAGAATTTTAAAAGCACCCCAGCAATTATTAAGCAGGTAACACAAAGCCTTCCTGATGAGCAGGTAGCACTATAGCCTTTCTATATTTTCTGAAAATATAGTTGAAATAATTAAATAATCATTAAATAAGAAATAATTGTTTAATTTATTTATTAAATAATAACAATCATTTAAATATTGATATAATAATTACATAAATAAGATTGACTATATGGGTTTATAGATACCTATGTATTTCAGATGGACCTTCAAATGATAAAGACTCTGAAGAGAAAAAGAAAGATGCAGCATCTTCATCACAAAACAGTCCTGAAGCAAGGGAAGAAAGGTGCTTCTCCTAATCTTTTTTCAGTAGTCTAGGTCAAAATATGTCAGATTTTAGGTAACATTGCAACATTGTTGCTTAATGTTGCATGGCACAAACAAGCTTGGTAGTAGCCTGAAAAGTAAGATTTTCCAGATAATAATGTCAAATGCTGTAACTGCTATCTAGGATTGGTGTATCTAAACAGTTAAGCCATTTCAAATTCTTTGCTTTTTCTCTAGAATATAATTCAGTAATGGAATGAACAAAATAAATATATTCTATGCTTTCTTTCATTCAGCAGTTGCAGTAGCAACTCAAGCAGCAAGAAAGAGGAAGCCAATGTTCCCTCAGAAACTTTTATTTCTTCTTTTCCTCGGGCTCCAAGCACATCTGATTCTGTAAGGATGAAATGTCGGGAAATGTTGGCAGCAGCCCTCAAAACAGGAGGTAAATATTGTACTACCACCTTAGATTTCATTCTACTCCACATTTCCTCTCTAATATTATTTAGTGTTGACTGTACATTTGTTAATTTTATTTTAAAATAAATATCAAGTGAATGGTGTGGTCCAAGTTTCTGAGGAATCAATATCATCCATTTTGTGTTTCATCATAGAAACCCATTGCTTTTTGGAAGCAGTAATTCTTTTTGAATGTATTAATGTATTTTTCTTTGAGAGCTGTCTTAGTTTATCATATTCAGCTCTGCATTTCTAATTCTTGCTAAAGTTTTTTGTCAATTTCTTAAGAAATATTCCTTAATTCTGAAGCTAAAATAATTGAGTTTTATCCAAAGCTGCTGTTTCACAGTAGAAGGTGTCTTATGGCTACAAAAGGAGTGTTTATGATCTAGTGTTTCTTAAAAAAGTAGGAAACCAGTTCTGAAGAATGTTGGGTCACCAAACAATACAGGGGTGAAAAGACTGCTAGAGGAGGATAGGCAGATTTCAGAGAATCTTAATGAATTCATTATTTCAGTCTTACTGTGGAAGATAATAGACATCTAGAAGGTCACACCTGAACTTCTTTTTGTAGGGAAGGACATCTGGAAAACTTAATGAAAGAGATGATGAGAGGGAGAAAGCATGACAAATTAAAACTTAACAAATCCTGATCCTGATGCACTGTAGCTGAACATTGTTAAAGACAGTGCTTCCTTTACCTTATTAGCACTAAATATTGATTGCCCTGTGGAATCTCCAGCATGGAGTTTGTTAGGGATTTGGTCTGTCCTCCATGCCATTTAACATCTACATGAAACTGCTGAGTGAGGTTATCCAATGTTTTGAGGTATGTTGCCATCAGTATGTTGACAACACACAGCTCTATTTCTTTTTTTCATTGTCAGCAGTTGAGACTAGATTTGCTAAATTGGTGTCTGCCTGTGACAAGCGACTGGGGCAGGGCCAATGGACTGAGATGCTGTTGGTGGGCGGTTCCTCTGTTCAGATGGATAGAACAGATGTTCAATCTGTTCTACATGGGGTTGTGCTCACCCTAAAGGAGCAGGTTTGTAGCTTAGGGGTGTTCCTTGATCCATCTTTAGCACTTGAAGCTCAAGTGACCTCGGTGGCTTGGAGTGACTTCTAGCAGCTTTAGCTGGTGGCTCAGCTCTGTCTCTATCTGGGCAGGAATTGTCTGACTTAGTAGTTTATGCTCTGGTAATCTCTAAATTATATTATTGCAATATACTGTACATGGAGCTATCCTTGAAGATCCTTTAATTCTTAACTACAGTCATGTTACAATGTCAAGTACTGGTGTGCTCATCCTTTGGCTTGGTTGGTCCTCTTCAGTCTTCCACCTCCAAACTTGCCAGCTGAATTACTTGAGCATATATGATGGGTGTGCAAGGCTAGAATGTTGCCAGAGCCAGCAAAGCAGTCAGCAGAGTGGATAAGCAGGGCTTCTGTGAGGACAACTCTGACAGGGTGGAATTAGATCTCCTGTTGTGCACAGGACCCCATCCTTTCTTTTGTAGTATGTCCTTTTCTTTATTCATTTTAATCCTGTGCAAAGGAGAGATGTGAACACAGACTGAGTAGCTACAAATCTGTGGGGTGGATTGAGCCCTCTGCCTCCTTGCTTTTTTATAGTAGGTATACTACCAGAAGAGATGAGTATGAGTGTGTAACATTTTCCCCATTTTCCTCAATTTCTTTTTTCTGTGCAATAGTAGTCATTCCTGGAATATAAAAATGTTGGTGTAGAGTAGCAGTTTAGTGTTGGTAGTGCAGATCCTTCCCTAAACCCTGTACTCCATGGGCTTCATCTTGGTTACTTGTCCCAACTTAGCCTTTCTGTGCTTTGAGTTGCTGTTGTGGATTCAAAAGACATTTTGTATGTGGCAATGTGGCTTTCCCAGTTATCGGTTCTAGCTGTGTAGTAGAGAAATAGCTGAATCTTGATTTCTATCAAAAGACTTGACTATTTTCCTTTGTGTGAAATTATGTCTCCCAGGCCCCTCCCTGTTTGCAAGATTTGTAATTTTGAAATGTGGACTTGGCAATCAATTGTTGCATTTTGAAGGAGCTTTACAAGGAAGACTGATAGGAACAGAACTATACCTAATTGACTCTTTCTGCAGTAAAATGGAAAATCTTATTCAGCTTATTGATAAATTAAGACTACAATTCTACAGCCACTACTCTGGAAGTAAGCACCATTGAATTCAGAGTAGATGCATAGAATTGTACTGTAAGGCTGCAACTGTATGCACTTTTACCTGGGAATAAGCTTAACTGAAACGGTTACCTTAGGTTCTGATTAAATATGTATAAGACTGACCTTTAAAAGTCCACTGAGTCCTTACTGCTCTGATTTCCATACAGTTTCATGGACAGCAAAATATTTAAAGTAATCATCATGTTTTCAATATTTTCATTTAATTTCTCTGTTCTTTGCTGTAACTAGCTAAGGCTGTCTATGGATTTTGGATAGCAGATCCTTTTCAGGGGCCTGCAAAGGACTGTATGCCCTGTCTTGAGAACTTCATCTGTGAATTAATCAAACTGGGCAATTTCACAATTTGCATGTTCCTGGAGTCTGCTGCAATAACATGTTACGCTGAACAGGAACCATATTGTAATCATAAAGAATGATGGTACTCTATTACCAGCAATATAATGTTTATGTATAAAACATTTTTAGAAAAAGTCAATATTAACAATAATATACCTGACTTCTTTTTCAGATGATTACATTGCCATTGGTGCTGATGAAGAAGAACTGGGTTCTCAGATTGAAGAAGATATCCTTTCCTGAACTATTAATGTTTGATCAGTTTAACAAACTGCTGCAAGCTAAAGTTTTTGATGAATTGCACTGAGTGCAGAAAGGCAGTGTAGAAGTAGTACTATGTTATTCAACCCCTGCATCAAACTTTAGATTGTAATTTGCTTGCAGTAGTGCAGTGTTTAATTTGCAGTGTTATGCACATTGATGGTACTATATAAATAAGTCATCTACCAGTCCCTTACTGTAATTCAACACAAACAGTTTATTAAGACACACCTTAAAACACCATAGAAAACATACACACTCCATACACACGCCACACACAGGGATATAAATTCAGACTAACAAACCTCCAGAGAGCAATCAGAACAAATTATCAGAAAGATAAAGATGGAGTAATTCTAAAATCTCCAGTAGAACTGATAATAGGGGTTATTTTCAAAAAGACAAAAAATAGCATAGAAATGTTCTGGCAAAGCAAGCACTGCCCCCTCTGATTGTTACTGTTGCCTTCTTGAACTAACATGTTTCTTGATATATCCTGGAAATGGGCCACATGAAATTCTTAAAATTTAGTATCAAGGGGAAAAAAGATCTTACCAAAAGCAAAATGAACATGTTGCCTGCTGAAGAAAGATTACTTTAGTACAGGGGTGGGCAACTTCACAACATTCACACCCCATTTTCTCCTGTGCTACATTCCCCTGCATCCCACCTTTTGAAAAAATGTAAACATGTATTTTTACAGAAATAGAATTCAGAGTAGCTACAGAGTGCATAAAGGTCAGTACTAGCTAATGTCAACCCTTTTTGTGCTTCATAGTATGCTTTACTGCAAAATTGGTATTCTGGATGCCATATTAAAACTATAATTATTATTTTACAATTGTGGGAATGTAGCGGGACAACAGGGGCTGTATGTAGCCCATGGGCTGAACATTGCCTATGCATGCTTTAGTTTGACTTTAGTAACTTTAATTTCATTTGTCTAAAAGGCAAGCATTTTTTTTAATAATACCAAAGCTTGCTACTTCAATTACATATTCAGACCCAATGATAAAACAGGTGTTGTAAATGGAGTGTAGGTGGCTGTTTTGTACAGGGCAGAAGATGACAGGGTAGACTTTCATGGGCTTCCCACAAGCATATTTCTTCGCCGTGGCCTCTGTGCATCACACATATGGGTGCTGCGCCTGTGCAGTGCCTTGGCTGGAAGATTAGAAAGCTAACGGTTTTTGATGGGAAAAAGCTCTGCTCCCTCTCCCCGCAGTATAAATAGAGCGGAGCGTCCGCCATTTTACTCAGTCTTTGCGACCGCCATTCACTGTGCCTCGTGCCTGTTCGTCTCTCGCTTAGATTTCTCGTCTTGTGCTCCTAACGGTTATACTTTTTTCTGCTTACCTTGTTCCTCGTTATATTCCCAGTTCTTTGTCCTCTTCCTTGTTGTAGTTTTTTTTCTTCCATCTATTAAAAAAAAAAATTCTTCTTACCCTCTGTACTGTCATCTCTCTCTTCTTTTTCGCAATGGCACAGCGGGTGGCATTCTGCAAATGCAGTGAGTGTGGCTCCAAAATGTCTCCCGCCGACCTGCACGACTTATGACTCCTCTGCCTCGGCGAGGGGCATAGGACCGACAAGTGCGTCCATTGCCTGGCCTTTACCAAACAGGCCAGGAAGAATAGGGAGAATCGTCTCCGTAAGCTGCTTGGGGATCAGGCCTTGCTCCAATCAGACCAGTTGGTTCCAAGGCCTACCCCTTCCTCGGCTGTACCATCACAGCGCTCTGCCTCTGCTTCAGCCGCGCCCTCTAAGCGCCCCGCCTCTGCATTGGCCGCGCCACCGCAGCATCCTTCGGATGAAGGTGCTGCTTCAACAGAAGCGCAACAGCTACCTTCTTCTCCAACTAAGCCAAAGGAGAAGCATAAGCATTCAGAACCGGACAAATCCTCTGTGCATAAGAAGCCGAGGAAAGACAAGGTGGCTAAGGTGGCCCATAAGGGCAAGAAATTCGACTGCCCCAAGCACTGGGACTCGGGTTCGTCGGGGTTCTCTGTACCGACCGCCGCTATGGTACCGACTTCCTCGGGACCGGCCTTGCAATTGGTGATGCAGGTGACGCCGCTGGGATCCCCCAGGCCTGTGCTTCGGCCTGAGAGCATGTCTCCCCCACCGGAGCCACTGCTTCGGGAGTCCCATCTCCGATGGAGAAATTAGAGATTCCCCACCGGGGCAGCGTTCTCCAACTCTGATACCTACTGCTGGGCCACCTGAGAGAGTACAGTCGCCGCCTGGGCATAGGAGCCGCTCATCGGAATGCCAAGGGGATGACTGGCCTATGCTGGGTTATGGCGGTTTTCCCGGCTGGAGTGGCTATCCACCCTATGCCTATTACTCTCAGGACCGTTGCTCACTGTCAATCCCAAGAGAGGCGCCATCCACGTCCGGCCGTGCGGAACAGAGACCTCTGCCTTCTCCCGAGACCACCTCGTCTAGCGAACACTACCGCTACCACCAGGACTTGGACGAGTCGGAAGTTGACTGCACGTCCCCGGATGTGGCCATCACCTCCCAAGACCCTGGATCCCTGGACGAGCCTCATGTTTCCTTCTCGGAACTCGTTTCTCGTCTGGTTCAGTCGCTGGAAATAGAGGCCTACCATTGCCCCAGCATCGTCCAATTTTACGATATCGTCCGGGGAGAGCAGTCCACAACCATTGCCTTACCTCTAATTACCACACTCCGCCAGGCAATGGTCCAGCCCTGGGACCAACCGGCACAACCGCAAGCGACATCTCGTCGGTACGAGTCTATGTACCGGGTACCATTCTTGCTGCGCCACCCTAAGCCCAACTCTGTGGTGGTCGAGTCGTCCCAGGGCAGGGAGGCTCAGGGCCATACAACACCCCGAGATAAAGAAGGGAGGAAAGTTGATATGATTGCACGTCGGGTCTATACAGCTGCAGGACTTGGCATGCGCATATCGAATTATGAAGCTACTCTGGCACGTTACCAGTACTTCATAATGCAGAAGCTGGATAACGTTGCCTCCTCCCTTCCGGACCAGCAGGCAGACCTAGCCAGGGTCTTTATAAAAGAGGCAATGCAGGTGGCCATATAGCAGTTGTCCACAGTAAGACATCATGTGGACACTGAGTCTCAGGCCATGGTCAGTGCTATCTCCTTACGACGACATGCGTGGCTCAGGAATTGTAATTTTCCTGAAGAGATGCAGTGGAGGATAGAGGAGATGCCATTCGATGGCACTGGTCTTTTCCATGCGAAGACCAATCGAAAACTCAAAGCCATCCATGAATCCCGCATGACAGCATGTCGCATGGAGCTCCCACAAACTAAACGTAAGTGGTCATGGTCCAGGCCTTATGGACGCCAACAGTACCAACCTCGCCAAGACTACCAGCAGAGGCAGCAGCGTAGAAGACAACAGCCCCAACAGCGCTTCTCTCAGGGCCATCGGCGCTTCGACTCCAAGAAACACCCTCATTGACGGTCCCGGCGAACCAATTCATCTTTCCATTCCCCACCTTCCCCTCTCCCTTTTGGGAGCCGGCTTCAAAACCGACTCCCCATTTGGGAGTCCATTACATCTGATAGGTGGGTGTTGTCCATCATTCAGCTCGGATATAGAATAGAATTCGACATCGTTCCACCGTCAAGCCCTGTCTGATTTATGCCACCATCTTCGGTTTTGTGTGATGAGGTCTACCAACTTCTTCGTAAAGGTGCGATTCAACAACTTTCTTGCACTGATGGGCTTCACCAATTCTATTCTCGATATTTTACGTTCCCCAAACGGGACGGTGGTCTTCGACCTATCCTGGATCTCAGGAATGTCAATAGATACATTGAACCAAAGGAGTTCCGGATGACCACCTTACAGAATATCCTTCCATTGCTGAAAAAAGGGGATTGGTTCGCCTCATTGGACTTGAAGGATATTATTTTTATATCTCTATCCATCCTTCCCATAGACGCTTCCTGCGATTTACTGTTGGATCCGATATTTTCGAATTCAATGTACTCCCATTCGGTCTAGCTACGGCACCGAGAGTCTTTACAAAATGCATGGCTCCAGTATGCGCTCACCTACAGCTTCGGAGTATACAAGTCTACCCCTATCTAGATGATTGGCTCATTGTGTCACAGACTAAGGACAACCTTCTTGCGGCTGTCCATATAACTTGTACTTTGCTTGATAACCTTGGACTATGCATTAATTTTAAGAAATCGTCACTTATCCTGACACAGGTCATCGATTTCATTGGGGCGCGCAACCTATCTACAGGTGTTCCGTTCCGTCAGCCCCAACCAACTGTGACATTGCACACCGATGCGTCCCTCATCGGATGGGGTGCGGCATGTGTAGGACTGTGGGTCCAAGGAGCTTGGAACCAACAGGAAGCAGGGAGACACATCAATTTCCTCGAGCTCCTAGCAATTTTCAACGCTCTCAAATCCTTCGAAACTGTGATACACAGCCAAGTTGTGCAGATTGCATCCGACAACATGGCTGCTGTCTTCTACGTCAACAAGCAAGGTGGAACGAGGTCTCCGCTCTTGGCCCGATTGTCAATGCAGATCTGGGATTGGTGCATCCCAAGGGACATAATGCTACTGGCGGTGCACCTTGCAGGGACCGACAACGTAGAAGCGGATACACTGAGCAGGCAGATGTCAACGACCCACGAGTGGGAGTTGGACCGGATGATTTGCAATGAACTATTCCAGTTGTGGGGATATCCGGACAGAGACTTGTTCAGTACCCGAACAAACAGGGTATGCGAACTGTTTTGCTCCAGAGCGGATTTCGGACAGAACTCGAGGGGAGATTCCCTCATGATCAACTGGAGCAACATGTTTTTCTACGCGTTTCCTCCGATTCCCCTTCTGATGAAGGTGGTATCGAAGATTGTCCAGGACAATGCTACAGGGATTTTGATAGCCCCATGGTGGCCGAGGCAACCCTGGTTCACTGCTCTCCTCCTTCAGTCCAAAGGTGTTTCCCCTCACTTGTTGACGCAGTGCAATGGAGCAATCTGATACCCAGACCTAGCTTCGCTCGGACTGACAGCATGGAGCATTTGCTAGATTCGGTCTCTCTATTAGTTCCATTACCATCTCGATCCACGGAATCCTATCCTCAACTGTATACATGACCGACTCCTCCTTCAGGACCAGCAGAATCAGTCTCGGAACCGACGTTTTTACATCCTGATATCCGGGTGATTCTCGAATCTGCACTAAGACTTTCTACACGCCGGTCTTACTCAGCAAAATGGAAAAGATTTTCCTCCTTTGGTGACCGTCATTCTTTTTCTCCAGAATCGGCATCCATTCAGAACATTCTACAATTTCTGTTTGAACTTCACCGTTCGGGACTTAAGCCTTCGTCTATAAAGGTTTACACGGCTGCTATCTCACATTTCCGTGGTACCATACAAGGCTTATTGGTTTTTTCTCAACCTCTGATTCGTCATTTTCTTGAAGGACTACAAAATCTACACCCGTTGATTCGCCCGGTTATGCCGACTTGGAGTCTTTCTGTTGTATTCCAAGCACTAACAAAGCCACACTTTGAACCTCTGGCGACAGTGAATCTACATCTTGTATCATGGAAAACTGCCTTCCTTGTTGCGGTTACTTCAGCCAGAAGGGCCAGTGAGCTTTGCGCTCTACGCATAGATCCACCATTTTTGAATTTCCACAAAGAAAAGGTGGTTCTTCGAATGGACTCGGCATTTCTTCCTAAGGTGGCTACATCGTTTCATTTGAATAAGGATATCACATTGCCTGCATTCTTTCCATCTCCATTGACTCCGATTGAGCGCTCTCTCCATACACTTGATGTTCGGCGCTGCCTTGCCTTTTACAGATCTTGTACAGAATCCTTTCGGAATTCTAACAGACTTTTCGTTAAATATGCTGATAATGACACAGGTTCTCCAGTCTCATCTCAGCGAATATCTAAATGGATTGTTCAGACCATTGTGTTGGCCTATCAGTTGGCAAGAATGGACTTACCTACACTTCCGAGGGGCCATTCTACGCGAGCAGTAGCGACTTCGTCAGCTTTTGTGGCAGGTGTTCCAATTCAGGATATTTGCAGAGCCGCAACCTGAGCTGCTCTGTGTACTTTCGCCAAGCATTATTGGCTTGATTTGCGTGCCAGACAGGACTGTTCCTTTGGCAGAGCAGTGCTCTCTGCCATTCTTCAGTGACGACACCTCCCTCCTCCGAGTCTGGTAAGCTTGCTAATCACCCATATGTGTGATGCACAGAGGCCATGATGAAGAAAAGCAGGTTGCTTACCTGTAACTGATGTTCTTCGAGTGGCCATCTGTGCATTCACACAACCTACCCGCCGGCCCCACATGGTGTCGGTGAGTGCACTTACTCTTTTATATCGGTTCCGTACTAATCTTACGGTACCGATGTGGCTTGTTGTGGTACTGTCATTGTCTACTAGGGGGCAAACGTCGGTCTTCAAGACTGAGTAAAATGGTGGACGCTTCGCTCTATTTATACTGTTGGGGGAGGGAGTGGAGCGTTTTCCTGCCAAAAACCGTTAGCTTTCTAATCTTCTGGCCTAGGCACTGCGCAGGCGCAGCACCCATATGTGTGAATGCACAGATGGCCACTCAAAGAACATCAGTTACAGGTAAGCAACCTGCTTTTCTGGCCAATGTTAATAACAGGAGGCCATACTAGGTGAACTCACCTAGCTTGATCTAGTAGGGAATCTTCTTATGTTCTTGTATACGTTTTAGTGTCCACATTCAGAAAATACATTCTTTCAAGTAGTACTGAAACATTATTTATGAAATTGATGAAAGTTAAGATTTTGACCGTACTCACTAGGCCACTTCTTGGTACCTTATTTTGAATCTCCCCTTCTTATATGTTAACATTTCCAGTCTTAGAGATAACTCAAGGTCTTTATGCTGTATATCTTGCCCATGTCAGCTTTTTTCCAATGTCCAGAAGGAATGATGCTGTCATAAGGGAGTAATCCCTTGTCTCCTTTCTGCATGGCCCAGGTGTTATCTTCATGTTTTGTTAGAATACAGTATGAACATTGGCTCTACTTGGGCTATATAAAGAAACCTGAGGAGATCTAAGGGGTTTGGCTTTGTAACCCATATTTGCACTGCCCCCAGTTAAAGAAGTGTTCTTTATGTTATGAGCAAAATGTTCATATTGATTTTTCATCCAATATACTTAAAAGGTCAGTTTTTCATTACTTGAGAAAATGTATTTACCACTAATAGCCTTCATAAAAGGGTGCATTTTGTCAAACACTGATTTTGTAAAGACTTCATTAATTTCACTGGAATGGCATTCATGGGCTGTAGCCGCTTTTCTGTTATATTGATGGATTTTTTTCCATGCTAAGCTCACATTCCCAGGCATCAGGTGGCATTAAGATTCATATCTTTAACTTCATCAGTGAGTATTATATGTTCAATATGCTCTAGTTGATTTAATGAAAGGAATAGATGTAAATAGTAAGCTTAGGTTTGGCCAAATGTTTGTAAAAGAATAAAGTGCAATTTTATACTGTTCCTATTGCTGTTGCCCTTAACTTGTAAGCACCTATATTTCAGGAGCTAAAAAACACCGACATGAAATACAAAAATAGGGTACGAAGCAGGATAGCAAACCTTAAGGATACCAAAAATCCTAATCTAAGGAAAAACGTTCTATGTGGAAATATACTTCCTGACAGGTTTGCTAAAATGACAGCAGAAGTAAGTAATTCATTCAACGTATGTGTTGTAATATTTATTAGGCCACCCAAAGGATTACAAAAATTATGCAGGCTTTTTAAAATTCCCAGGTAACTTCAAGCAGGATGGTAGAATTCACTCAATATATCTTTCATTTTTTTCAATGAGAAATGTCCCCTCAGTCTAAGATTTGAGTGCAATTTCATACTACTGAGAGCTGAATGTGCTATCTTAGGTGCTAGCTGTAGTGATACATGCTCAGTGGAGCCCAGTGCCTGAGCCATATTGCCTGCATGTTTTGATTTGATTAGGCAGTGGTTCATATCCTTTCATACCTCATGTGGAATGTTGATGCTGTTTATCATTTGTAAATTATTACTGTAAAAGTGTGCCTATCGTATAAATTAGTTGTATCCAGAAGAATAAACTAGGTGTAAGCTATCCCTTATTCCTTTAAACTCTGCCTAGGGATCTGAACGGCCATGGCTCAAATAGTAGAGCAAATTCTGTGCTTACAGTAGGTTCCAGATTCAACCCCTGGGATTTCAAAAAGTTGCTTGGAAAGAGTCTTGTTTGAAAAGTTTGGTGAATACTGTCAGTATTAACAGGAGGTACGGAAGTATAATTGGGTAGTGGGTCAAATTGCTCCCACCAGACCCTCTATGGACAGGATTTTTTTTGCCCCCATGTGTTCCCCACAGCCCTTTTTGCCTTTCTCAGCATGAAGAAAGGAATTAACCAATGCTGGGGTGTGGGCTAGGGAGGAGAAGCCACCTGACTGTTACTGGGAAGTGACTGCTCCTCCTAGCATCAGCTGGATCCTCTGTCTCCTGCATCCCTGCTATTATCTCAAGGGGGATTCCTGCAAGGGACATTCTTCCAGAGAGTGAGATTTGGAGGCCCTTTGGAGGAACCCAGAGAGGCTCCATGGTCGAAACATGGAACTTCTGCAGATTAGATTAGGTCCACAGGCCAGAGGTTCTGCATCCCTCATATACTCACTATTAAGCTAGATGGATCAATGGTTTGATCTACTATAAGGCAGCTTCCAGTGTCCCTAAATGTTCTTAAAAATGTTAGAATCTTAAATAAGGTGAGATTTATTACTATGTTATTACAGAAGGTGATAGAGAGGATGAGGTCTTCTTGCAAACATGCTAGAAATTGCATATGGACACACACCTTTTTTTGTAAATTGTGTTGAAAGTGTTCCCCTATTTAGATTGAGGATAATGCTTCCTGAATTGGTTTGTTGTGACCTCAGTTATATCAATGAGTAACCAAATCTGCTTACATTCTATTCACAAAATATTCTGTAACTGTTCCATCTAGATCAAGCATAATTATTAGAAGTGGTCTTAATTCTCTGCTTGTTATTGATTAATTTGTATTTGAAAGCTACAAACAATTGGAACAGGTTGAAAACAAAAATGGTCATCTGTGTCCTTACCACAGGAAATGGCAAGTGATGAACTGAAAGAGATGAGGAAAAATCTTACCAAAGAAGCAATAAGAGAGCATCAGATGGCTAAAACAGGAGGCACCCAGACTGATCTATTTACTTGTGGAAAATGTAAAAAGAAGAATTGTACTTACACCCAGGTACATAAAGCCATACTTCTCCAACATCTAATCCTGGTAACTTTTTAAAGAGTGCTTCCAGTCAAGGCTTTTGTTCTGCTGCCGCATGGAATTTTACAAAAGATCCAGATAACACTGTCATCAATTTGGAATTGTCCCATGTTTTAACACTACTACTTCCATTTTTCCCTTACCAGAAAACTTCTGTTAAGAAGGAAAAGACGAATCAGTTGCACAATGGTTAGGAGTGCTAGGAGTCCTTCCTCTGGAAGCTCTTTAAGTATTATGCTGCCAACTTTTCCTGACATGTCTATAAAAGATTCCAAAATATTGGTTAGGCTACAAGATGTTTCTTGTATCTGTTGGACTAAAAGCAACAAGAGAAGCTTCTAAAGAAACTGCTATAGCAAAAGACATATGTGATGCTCATAGTAGCACCAAAAGTTTAAGTGCATTTAGCAGAAGCCAAACTCCTTGGAGAAATAAATGGTTAGTAAAGCCAAACATTTATATAATGACACCATAAGTACATTTACAGAATCTGCACATGGTCTCAGAAAATTCATATTGGATCAGTGCCTGGTGGGTATCAGGAAAAAAAACTCAGCATACAGAGCTTAGAGGAGCTGCAGCCTGTGACCATGAGTGGGGCTGTGGGGAGCCATGCTCCACAGGGCACAGTTTATTTTCACTATCACTTGACTATCACAGTTAAGAACTTGGTCCAGACTGCTCCTTGAAAAATACTTTGTAGACCATCTGGCACTGAAAACCCAGATTGCTTATATTCATAAATGAACAGTTGTTCAAGGGCAATGCCTTTGATTTCTCTGGGTTCATGAAACTGATACTGACATTGTACATAAAAGAAGATAGTACCCTCTTGGATGTTATTCTTCTATTATCTAAAAAGGAATAGGTGTGCCTGTGTAACTGTGGACAAGGGTATTGACCAGATGTACAGTGAGCAAAAGCATAGCAATAATGGGGAGGGGGACAGTAAACTGCAAAATTAATGAAGGAGATTTTGTTTTCTTCCTCTGAGCCATCCTCAATTCAGGTAGTATTATGAGATAAAATGAAGTTTAATATGCAATATTAGGCACACTTACAAGTAACCCCTATTGTACAAAGTTGGTATTACATCTGAGCAATTATGGATTGAATTGTACTGTCAGAATGGAGCAAAATGATTCTGCTTAGATAGAATAATATAGTTGTTTGCTGTCCTCTGTTTTATTGTAGGTTCAGACCCGAAGTGCTGATGAACCTATGACAACATTTGTTGTGTGTAATGAATGTGGAAACAGATGGAAGGTAAGAAGTTTCATTTTGATTGTATTTTGTGGGTTAGATTTATTTTCTTGAAATATTTTCTTGATATTTTGGATGTACATATCTATTTACAAGCTGAAAGTGTTCAAAGCCAAATATTTTCAAAAATATTAAGATGGGGATGGTAGTCCATTGACTAGCCAAATATTGTCATTTGAGTATGGTTTGATTATCATAAACCAGGAATGGTGGGCAACTTGTAACCCTCTGGTTATTTTGGACTGCAGCTTCTGTCAGCCTTACCCCACATAGCCAATTTGCCCACCCCTGTGCTAAACATTCCATGGATGTTGGTGGGAGCAAACAGAAGTGTCATGGTTATTGCATCATGCCCTGCTTACAGAGGTAACAAAAGCATTTAGCTGGCATCATTTGCGATGGATGCTGAGCTAGTTGGACCTTTCATTGGACCTAACAAGACTTTCCTTTAAAAAAATGGTTGGAAGTCTTTGAATGAACTAGCATATCCAAAAAGAATACATGAAAATTTGTAATGCATACTGTTTGGAATACTTGTTTCTAAATGTAGATATTAAAATAAGTTTAATAAATTCCTTGATCTCAAACCATATATTGATGGTTAAGCTATTTTTAAGTACAACAATTGAATTTTAATGTGACAAAAATGGCATTTTGCAGGGAGGCAACAATAATGGAATCTGCATGTTTTCTATGATGGTTCCCCCTGAAACTGGCAGGAAAACTGATACCTGCAAAAGCAAGACCTTAGCACATCCTGCAATAACCTTAAAATTAGGAGTTTCATATTCTTTATTGATCATTTCTATTGATCAATAATGAAAGCTGGGGGAAGAGGCAGGTGAGAATTCTGTTATGAGTCCTAAATAAGAGCTGATAAGTTTGTGAACAGAATGTTAAATACTATTATTTACTTAGATAAACCTTGAATATATGCATATATCACAGAAATATTATTTTCTTTTTTACAGTTCTGCTAGAAGAAGAAATTATTGAGATCTGGACCAGTATGAAAGAGGATTTTATAATTAGCTTTAAAAATTAGGTTGAGCATTTAGCTTGCAGCAGAGGATTTTTTTTTCCCTTGGGATTTCTCCCTCTCTTTTTTTTTTTAAGCTGACATCTCTGAAGTTAGATTTTGGTTTGACATGGCCATCCCTGTAGTTAATAGTCAGTAGAGCCAGGATACTCAGTTGTATGGTGTAACTTCACTTCCTCATTTTTTATAAGCAAGTGTACATTAAACTTTTATCAATGACATTTGGGTAACTGCTTTTTTTCTTAACTTTGTGAACAGAAAGTTGGATATCTTTGTGCATGGTATATCCAGCTGAAATATTTTCTTGTAGAATGGAATTCACATTTAATAACATTGTCCTTTTTAACCATTTTGGTGCTAGAGCAAATCAGTAAGTTTTATACCAACACAATAAATTACATTTAATGTGGGTAGTCAGGTAGAAACCATTTCTGCACTGGTCATTGAGTGTTAATAAGGAAACCTGATGCTTTATAATGCACATGACTCTTCTGTTACATAATCCAGTGTTTTATGGTTTCAAAACTTGTGTTGATCTATTCAGTTTATTGTACAGCCCTAAAGCATGCTTATTATTATCTTGTCCTTGATTATAGCAAAATTTCTTGCAGCTTTCCTTTCTTTATATTCTTGATGGTATAATTCATTTTAGATTCTGTAGTTAAACAAAGCTGGTTTGTGGTACGCTGCATAGCTAGAGATTTAAACTAATCTTCACCAATTTATGGTACTGTTTCGTGTGAAGACTTTAATGACCCGCAATTTTTACATTTTGAACCACTCATTCTAAACTTCAAAGGTCAGAAATAAAATAATGTTTTTTCACCACTTGTTTAGGTAAACTTTTGTTAGAATGTTTCTCAAACTACTTTTTAAAACACTAACCACACCACCCATGACATGTTTGGTATAACATACTAATCTGTCAAAAATTAGGTTGGTTAAAATAGCTCCCCACCAAGAATGCCTTTATTAAATATAAATGCCTGACTTGGAACAGATAATAGGATATTTCTCATGTCTTTTCATATTATGAATAACATAAATCTTCATTTTATTTACTGCAGAATTTAATTTTTATGCAGTGATTATAGAAAATAAGATCCTCAAATATATCAAACACCTATGTAAGCATTGTCTGCTAAAGTTTTCAATTTCACATTAATGATCAAGCTAAACTGCAATTACTTGAAAAAATAGTTTATTCTCTAATTTTGAGAGACAATTCTAAGCCACTTTTGATACTGATTCTAATAACTGCTAAACTGACCCTGTTCCTACAAATGCACGTGTCAAATCATAAGGCACTCTTTCCTTGTTGATCTTTTAACATGTGTCTCTTTCCTTGTTCATCTTTTAAAATGAATTTATTGTACCAGTTCAGTTTGTGCAATTGTATATCTCTTTCCACACTACATTTATTAACAGAAATATTAATACATGTGAAAAAATGCACACTTCAATTTCATTAGTGTATATAAGCAGGGAAAGAGAAGCAACTATTTGGTATAAAAATTAGTTCTCTTCAGGTGGTAACACTTCTACAATGGTTCTAACTTCTATGGTTAATTTTTAAAAGATTATTCATGATGGTGGTACTAGCTTAAAGAATTAAACATATTCTTGAAGAGTATGAGCACACTTCATGTTCAAAGACTATGCTAAAGGTGAAGAACTTCTTTTAGTCTGAAGCTGAGTTCAGTTTCAGAGAAGCTATTGGGGGATAGATTCTAACGGTAGACAGGACCAAAGGTAAAAGAGGTAAGCCCCCCCCCCCCCCGCCACACACACACACTCAGCCTAGTTTAGCATAAACTCCATATTACCCAGTACCTTAAGACCGTAGAAAACTAGGTTGGCACTTCAGGAGAGCTGGATTTAGCATCTGTGTCTTTGATTTTACACCCTTACTGTATACATGTGATATTCCCTGTTTGTTCCAGTTTCTGATGATCTTCATCATGCTTTACTTCTGAGGTTCTAAAAGTATTTTTTGCCCTTTGGGGAAATAGTACTTGAGCAGATGGATGACTGACTTGAATAACCAGGAAAATGCATATAGATTATATTGTTAAAGCTTTTCTTCCATGCAACTTTGTTAGACTGCATCCTTCTTTATTTATATACCAGATAACTTTGGACAGTGATATGTATCTTAATCAGTGTAAAATTTCTCAGTAAGCTTCTGGCAATCTATTTGCATCAATCTTTAGCAACTCTTTATGTAGGCAAATGAAGATATTTCCTTCATGTAGGCAAATGATGCATTTCCTTTTTGAAAATATTGCTAAAAGGTTGTAAAATGTATAAATTATAGGATTTAAGACCACAATTCAATGGTAACTGCTGTAATCCACCAAACTCAGGGGCTTATAGTTATAGCAGTGCAGGATGAGCAGGAGAGGCACTCTTCACATCCGCATCTGCCCTGCATTTTACACTAGGCAGGCTTTTTTGGCTTGTCTAACTGAAGCATCTCAAAGCAGGAAGGAAGGGGAGCTGGAGAGGACAGCTCACATGCTATCCTCTCAGTCTCCTCCCCTACCCTTGCCTGCCTTTCTGAGGTGGCTTTCCAGACCTCAAAGAACAGCTGGCACAGCTTGTTCTCACTGGTTGCAAGGGGGTGGGGGGTGAGAATTTGGATTCCCAGCTCCAAGGCTGGAGCACCATCTCCAGCTTCAGATCTGAGAATCTGAACTACCTACAGCCTGTCAACCACTGTCAGGGAGCCATTCCATGACTCCATAATTCATGACATAGGACCTTCTCAGTCAGATATTTTGACTCAAGAGCCCTCAAAAACAGATAGAAATAGTTTTGAAGTTTGCTTCTGTTTACATTAAATAATAAAAAGGTCAGGTGAAAACCCCTGTAAAGCAAAATCTTGTCTTTATGTATCTAGCTTAGAATTTAGTGGTGTTTGTGATTTAAATAAAATAATGTGACCAAATGTTTCAGTGCCTAACAATGTAAATAAATGGCTAAAATAGTAATATCAAGATTTGTGTTGTAGTGCAGTAATGACAAGAGCATATTATTTCAGAGTATCTGGTGTGTGAACTAGAAACCCCAAAGGCTGGAACCCCCTCAAAATTGCAACCAGGGTTTTGTGACCCAGTGCAGAGGTTTGTGGAAGTGCGTATCAGCCTACATCCAGCAGTGCTCCTTGTGCAACTCCACAAAGCAATGTAATGCAAGCAGATTTGGGACCAATTGATTGCTTCAAGCAAATTCCATTGTATTTGAAGGTGGCAAATGTCTTGAAGTTATCTAGGGTTTTGTCAGAAGATACATACATAGATTATAGCTGTTTCCCTAAACCATTTTTTGTTTCAAGAAATCTGAGCTTTATTTTTTAAAATTGTATTACTTTACTTTGGGTGAGAAAATTTATGTAAGTTTCTTTGTGGTTACATGAAAAGTTTGGAAATATCCAGTGCATGCTTGTAGGTGGTGGCACAAAACTTTGACTTAGGTTCTTTGGGTTCATAGTTAATACTTCTTAAAGTTGTAAAAGGGAAGTGGAGTTTATTTTTGAAAAATTTGGCACATATGGACATGGCTACTTGTGTATAGGGCATTACACACCTTAAGTGTGATTTTATCTTATATAAATGTCACAATAGATTTTTCAGTGGTATTGCTTTTAATATCTTCTGTAAACCTTGGTCTATTCTCGAGATGTATGTTAAGTGCATTTTAACTTTTGCTAATTAAGTCAAAAATTAAAGGGCAATGAATGTAAGCTCCTGTGGCTAGGATCAATTGATTATCCTAGTTAGAAGTATCCATACAATTTTAATACTGTCTAATGAAAAGAATACCTGGACAGTATAAATGTTCTGTGACAGTCATTGTTAAATGAAGGGTAGACCCCCAACTGATAATGTCAGGAATAGAGCACTGCAAGTTGCTAATGAATGTCCTGGTGCTTGATAAATACCAAGTCTGATGTAGAAATGGTTATCTTTTCTGAAATCCTGGGGTATATTGATTCCATAGCAGTAGGTTTGACATTGTGAGGGTAAATATGAATCTGCCTACAAAACTTTTCAAGAAACTTATTTAGTAGCAAATTCATTGGAGGGCTTGACACAGGAAGTGGTGATGGCCAGCAATTTGAGTGGTTTTAAAGGGAGATTGGATAGATTCATGAAGAAGGAGGCCTCCAGTGACTATCCTTGCTGGCTATATGCTACCTCCTTTACCAGAAGTGTCATGCCAGTGTACACCACTTGCTGAGGAACTGGGGCAGGCAGAGGTCTTGGCACCCATCCTGCTCATAGGTAGCTGATTTGCCACTGTGTATGGAGTGCTGGACTAGATGGATCTTTGGTCTGATCAAGCATGGCTTTTCTTATGTCTTAATTATGTGGAACCAGCCACTCAACTGTGGATGCCCACACTCCACTTCAGTCACTGTGAGTTTTGTGATAGTTAATTTCTGGTCTGTGCAAAATTTGGATCTCTGCTCCGCAATTCATGAAAGGCCCACCATTTGTGTAAATGTGCACAAATAGTAGCCTGTTTTAAAGATGGGCATTTGTACGCTGGCTTGACTCACATCAAACTGAGTTGGCGCCAGTGCAGGGCTGACAGAATAGAATCCATGAACCTAAATCATAAAAGAACCCTTTCAGTTTCCACCTGGTCCCCCCACCCCAAGGTTCTTCATAAATGCCTATGTCAGATGTTATTTTTACTTTGCATATAGGAAGCTGAAGCTGAAAATAGCTTCCTAAGCTTTCATAATAGGTTGATGGCTGAATCAGAACATGAATTAAGGAATAAGTCCACTAGGAAATTTCTACTTAATAAAGTTACTTAATAAAACTCAATATATTTAATATTCAGATGCTTGTTTGGGATCTATTCAAGTGAAAGTCTTTTTTCTTGCCTGAGCAACTAGTTTCTGAAAATTCAGATACTTACTTAGATTGAGCTGGTGTTTTAAAAGTAATAATAAAACATCAAACATTTCTTCAGCATATTTGTAAAACCTCTGGTTTTGTGGAATGTTTCTACTATTAGCCAGGTGGAAATTTTAGCTTTCAAGGAATGTAGCTACACATCACTGAGATGTTAAGCAGGGTTTCACTGTGTAGCACAAAAGCACTCAGTTTAATTGTCAAGTATTTTTCCTGGCAAGATTGTTTGTGGTTTTTATAAAATTGTCAAAGTTTGGTAAGTATAACATCTTGGTATATGACACTTACTTTAGTTAAAGTTAAAATCAGGGATATAAAATGTAAACCAACAGTCAGTAACCAACTTTACCCATTTGGTAGGTAAAATGAGTAAGGTATCATAACATTAGGATGAGGACAGCATTACTGAACGCAAAACTGCAATACTGCTGGAGCAGATCTAGGACAGTGAGCTGCTAAACTTGAATGAAGATCCCCCGATGCCCAGTCACACTGATAAGCTAAGTGCTTCTCATACCAGCATGCTGATCCAGCAGCACGGGGCGGGGGGTGCATCAGGCAGAACGCCACAGAGGAAAGCAAAATACCCTTCTTCGGGCTCTTGGCTCTTTTAAGGGTCTACAGTTCTCCAAAAAAGCAGGCAGAACATGGGAGAGACGGATCTACAGAACTCTGTGGTATGTTGTTCACGCTGAACTATCTTTAGCGAAGTAAACACGAGGCTGTGTCGTCCCATTGTGCCTCATGAGATCCTTGTTGAGCAGAACAGAATTTAATATATTATTCATGCAATCCTATCTCCAGAAGCAGTCTTCATACTGGATAAATTTCTGTTAATGCATTTCAGTGCATGTGATAAAATGCACAGTTTAATTTATACTGTTAAATTATATTGTTTTATATTATGCTATTTATGATTGTGAGCCGCCCCGAGGCTTCGGCGAATGGGGCGGCATAGAAGTTCCCTAAATAAATAAATAAATAAATAAACCAGGTGAGGAAAAAATGAGCCTCGGTTACTAAAGGGGAGGGCTCATCAGAACAATTCAGAATTTATCTGACATTCTCATGGTGACCTAATTTTAGATTTGCGTGCTTATTTTCTGGCATGCCAATATTTTTAAGACTTTGGTTCTTTAGACATGTAGATTCTTCACTTCAAAGCATGTTTTGACATTCAAATGCTTTGATTTGATTATGATATATGGAGTGGAGGTGTTATATATTTAATACATTGAGCATCCATTCATTCTTCATGGCTCACTGGTGATCTTAAAGCTGACTTTGAATTTTGCTTGCTTATAGTCATTTAATTTAGTATTACTGTAGCTTAAATTAAAACTGCTTCTGAAACCAAGAATGAATTTTTGTGTGAAAAGGATTGAGAGCTCAGTTCTGATTCTGAAAAAAAATTCCAGGTTGAGATGCTTATAGAGGCATATGGATGCCTGTAGAGGCCCTATTCCTTAATTCAAAGTATGTATTATCTCCTCTTGCTAAGTCACTGTACCTGGCTCCAATTGATGGATCTCAGAGCTCTAAAAGGAAAAACATAGGTCCTAGTCTGCTCACACCTGATCTAGGATATTCCACTCTTACCTGGTTTGCAAATGTCCTGCAAAGAAAAATGCAATGGTGCATCTCTGTTGCTTCCTTCAGCTAGATACTACAGGTATTATTTCTGGAGTAAGATGATGGAAATTTTAATCACAGGTGAAGTGTTGCTAAACAATATAAACTTTGTTCCAAGTCATCTCCCTTGATACCATGTGATGACAGAGCTTGTTATTGTAACTTCTTTAAAATAGAGGTTAACATGGAAAATGGAAAACATATTTCCAGCATGCTACATTGAGCAATCAAGTAAATTAGCATCTTATGTGTATTTTCTCCCGGTAGGGAGGAGTCTTGGTCCATGTTTTTGTTGTTCAGTGCCAATTGGGAATACTTATGACTAGAAAGGAAGAAAAGGTAACATGTGCCTACTAGCCTCAATTCTATTTTAGGGGAGTCTTGGTAGCCCTTGCCCTTTAACATTGCAAATAGCGTAACAGCAGGAAGAGGTTTCTAAATGATTCAACAGTATTCACAGAAGAGGGTTAATCCTTAGACTTTTCCAGATTAAATCTCCCCCACTCCAGCTACTGAGAGAAACATACAGGCATTCTGGTAGTACCATTACTATTGTTTAAAACTAATGAGATATATGATTGCTCATCTCTCATCCAATCTGGAATGTATGGATCAAGGCAGTAATTTAAAAGTATACTAATCTACTGTACGTATTGGTTATTGTTTTATTGAGCTAAACCAACACATTCTTTAAAATGGCTCCGTAATATACTGTACAGTTCAGCTTCACTTTCTCTGTATATTTCTTTTAAAATGAAAGTTTAAGTGAAGCTCAAACCTAACTGATAATCATACTTCCATAAATCATGAAACAACAATGGCTGCTGTACCAATATAAATCTATATTTGAAAGTAAGTTTGTATAATGAAAATAGCTGAAATTTGTCTTTTCTGCTTTATGTAAATAAGTAGATACCAGCTTGTTTCCTTCTAAATAAGCTCTTTAATTTTTTTTTTTTAGAAACATCCACAATTCTAGTAAAATAATACTTTATAGGTGATAGCATTCATACCAGGGCCTTTCATTTTTCTATGTGGAAAATGCCATTCCATGTTTGTTTTTTCTTGTCTTTGCCATTGACATCAAACATTCTGCTCATATCCAAGAAGGGCTGTAGTTTTGTTCTTGTTGAAATCAGAGACAAAATTTGGATTGATTTTATTGGAAAGGAATGCTATGACTATTAAAGGACAGGTTAAGAAACACAGGTGCAGTAGCCATTTGAGCATTGAAGACTCATCAAATGGATATTTCATGGGCATTTCTGGTTAGGCAAGGTGAAACTACACATCACTTTATGCTGGTCCCAGCAGTTCAACTGCTTAGCCTTACAATAGACATATATTATTTTGATACTACTATTGAGATAAAAGCCAATTAACTGTACTCCACCTCTAAATAAATGGGTTATTTTATTCTTGATTAGTTGGAAGTAATGTTAATGCTCTGTCCCTATGCTCTGTTTTATATAGTAATGTATCCTACTCCTCTTTGTTGATACTTTAACCCTTTTTTCTCCATATTTGCTATTACCATCTCTCATTACAATTTAATTGTGAAAAAGTCTGTGCTAGTTTTCCAGATAGTGGCTGAAGAAGCAGCCTCCATTTTTAAGAGGGGTGGCCACCCTTTCAGCTACATTCCATCTCACATCCCTTCAGATATACAGAGCAGGTGAGCAGAATAAACTCAGGTGATGTTTTTCCTGTGTATGTGAACCTGAACCCACTGATTGGAGGGTTCCCGCGCAACAATTGATCACCCTGAAAGCAAAAAAGAAAAAAAAGGGGACTGATAAGTCCATTTACCATCTTTGACCAACACTCATATGCTTATATGATTTGTTGATTGCCATAGGGACCCTAATACAAGTCTGGTTTTGCTCTGATAGCTTATGTAGCATAGGAACACAAGAAGTTAATCTTTGGTATTTAGGTGTGGCTTTCTCATTTCATTGCACATGACTACTATTTTCTTTAATTAGCCCATTTTCATCCTTCTTTTAAGTAATAGTCTAATTAAATAAAGTCTGTTAAACTATTAGGTTATTTACACCTTTAAGGACTGGTTGTTTGTCCCACATGACCTGGACCACTTTCATTATGGTTACCAAATGAATCAAAGTGGGTGTACAGGGAAGATGAGTAGTGACATAGCCATAGAAGAGTGGGAATGTAGCAGCTGACTTTCTACTCTCACATAAAGGCCCTGAGAGGTGGAGGCAAACTATTCACCTCAGCTGGGATTAACTAGGAGCAGCGGTGGCAGAGAGGAGACAAAGAGAGGAGAGGAGAGTGTCTCATGAACTAGCCTGGAAAGCTGTTGTTGGACCAGCTGTCCACCACTGTCATGTCAAGCAGAAGCTGGAAAGATGGTTTTGATTTCTTTCCATGATGGAACCCTCCTGACACAATGAAAATATGCAATATGTGTTGAGTTATTTTCATCGGCTCTAAACTCCACAGTAATGGATGGTAGCTCAATGTATCATTTATGTATGTGTGAGCAAATGAAAGCAAAATTAATATGTTTAAATTCTATGCTTCAGCAGATTTTTGAGAGACAGAATCAATTAAGTTCTTATAAAAAGTAGAGCTCAAAAATCGAGGGTAGGAGTCTCTGTACATCAAAGTATAAATCTGGAGTTGTGCATCATCAAAACTATATTGTGATGGTTCCAGCATATTCCGGTTGACCAGATCTCTTGCTCTGGAGTCCAAGCTGACCTGCAATGGGAAAAAAAACCTTATTAGTAGCCTACTAAAACATCCTTCCCCAACCTACTGCATACTTTCAAAAAAAAAAAAAAAAACTTGCTATGATTGCAGTGATGCTGATAAGCCTACTTAAAGGTAAAAGTTTCCACATGACATTAAAGTCCAGTCATGTCTGACTGTTGGGGGTGGTGCTCATCTCCGTTTCCTAGCCAAGGGAGCCAGTGTTTGTCCGCAGACAGTCTCTGTGGTCATGTGGCCAGCATGACTAAACACCAAAGTGCATGGAACACTGTTACCTTCCCACCAAAGTGGTACCTTTTTATCTACTTGAATTTGTGTGCTTTTGAACTGCAAGATTGGCAGGAGCTGGAACAGAGCTTTGGCATATTCTGTTTCTGGAGAAATTCAGGCTATTCTGGCTGTTTTGAGAACCTTTATCAGGAGTACAAAAACCTGTATTTAAAATCCCCTGTGTGGAATGCTGTGTGTGTTAATTGAAATCACATTTCCTTGATTTTGCTGTCAGTTTAGGATTACAAATCAAGAATGTTCTTCAAAGGCTGCAATATATGGCTAGGGGGTTCAGTTAGGTTTGGTGGGTCTGTGAAGATTTGTTCATGCAGCCCTGTCCTGCTCACAGTCTGTGTGGAAAAACTTGCTGTGGCAGTCTCTCAGAACATGCTCATTGGGTTTGGCATAAAGGAAAACACGTGCATTGATGGGATGAGGGGAGAAGACTCTGGGCAATAGTTCATATTGAACCCAGGTGGCTAGATGAAATGCAGGGCACAAGATCAGTGCTGCCACTCCTTTCTCTGGATGCAGGCAAGTATCTGAATTCAGAGGCTTAAGTGCACCAAGGGCAGGAGATACTGGATTGTGCCTGAAGTGTTTTGCACCAGGGGTCTCAATTGTGGCCCGTGGGATATTTTGTGGCCCCCACTTGATATCAAAGTTTAGTGATAGTGCGGCCTGCACATTTTTTCACACGCACCTGCATGAGTCGCACCCTGGGCGCAATGTTCCCTCTAAGCTGCGCGCCGGGACAGGCGAGGCACGGGGGAGAGGCCCTGCGACCTTCAAAGCACCGGTGGCACCCGGGCCGGCCTCCAGGAGTGACGCGGGATGAGCAGCCCACCACCACCGCGGTGAATACTTGATGCGGCCCAGCCTCACCCAGACTCTACTTCCAGCGGCCCCCAGGTAAGTTGAGTTTGAGACCCCTGTTTTACACCATCTCATGAGCAGTCAGAGGCACTGCCAGGATTCCTTATAGGACAGCAGTGCTTTATTCTTCCCACCCCTGCCCCCTGTTCTACCCCCACAACACTGGCTTCAAAGTTAGCCTTGTGACCCTGGAGCACCAGCTAGCATGGAAACTACTATGGTGACCAAGTGTGTAAGGATCTGATTTTGGAATCCCAGCTCTACACAAATCATTTCTCAAAGGTCATAACCTGGATTCCAAATGATCCTACAGCAATTTAGATAGCCTCTAGTGGCCAGAGGATTTCACCCGAAATAACTCCCAGCCACCATAAAACTAACATTTTTCTTCATAAGAAATACTACTGTGAAGTGCATAATTCTATTTAGTGGATTTAAAAAAATAAAATGTGTAATCCAGAAAAGATTACCCAACGTTTAATAAAATAATATATTGAGTAATTTAAAAAGAGCAAGATTCTATTTAAAAAGAACAGCAGCTATATTGAAACAACTTGCAATATGAATTCTATCCTCCCTTTCTGTTCCTTGGTTCAGTCACTTTGAGGTTGTTGAGGACAAAAAAGAGAGGACCCTCTTATTCATTGTCTGTCCGTGAGAGAGACAGGCAACACCAGCAAGTAATTTTATATTTTAAAAAACTTCTTTATTGAAGGGAAACACCAACAATAGAGAGTGAGCCCATCTTCAATTGGGACTAGCTCACACATCCATCATGCACAGTGCTTTCATGTGTTTAGCTTTTTGCAATGATTAGATGTAGAAAAACATCCTACCAAAAAACATCCTATTACTTTTGCACATGGTTTTCTTAACCTACACTTCTGGTATCAAAACAACTGGCTCCAGGCTTATCTTTTACATATTCTGACCTTCTTGGCAGAGGTTTAATTTATATTTTCAATTCTCTTATATCTCTCTGATAGAACCCTAAATAACTGCCCCCTTGTTTGGTAATCAGAAAAAAAAAATCTTCAGGATCAAGGCTATACAGCACGTTACACACCTCTCTTGGAGAAAGGATGGAAACATAATCTTCATATATTCGCTTTGCTTTCTCTTGAATGAGTCTGTCACTGGATTCCTTCTTTAGGTCCTCACAGGCCAACCAGAAAAGCATGTTTTCTTCACTGAATTCTGTCCGAAGGAACTCCCTGAAAATATTTCTGCCTGATGTCGATCTCATCAATTTCTCAAAGGATTTGCCCCATGCCTTTACTTCTTCTACAGTAGGAGTTGAGCTTTAAGAGGAGTGAAGAAGAGACACCTGGTGACAATGCGAAGGAAGACCTTTGGAAGCATGGAAATCTGGAGGTCATAAGTACACTATGCAGAGCTAGCCCTAGCATTAGACCTTAGGTAGCAGGTGATGGATCATGGAGCTGTGGTGATATGTTAGGGAACAGGGCTGTGTGTTCCATGCAATGTGCACTACACCCCATAAGCTAGCCCATTGCCCTCAGCTGAGGCGGAGGACACAATGCTGAAGGAAGATGCAACTGCCAGTCTGCTCAGCTTCTGTACATCTAATGGGACTAGCCTTGCTCCTTTGCCTCAGACTGTGAAATGTCCTTGGGTATATCCTGATCAACACAGCAAATCTGATACTTGTGGAATAACTTTCTAAGTCATAAAGAGGAAACACTGCAATTCACCACAAACAAACCAACAAATACAAGGAAGGGGTAAAAATTTCACCATTCAGCAGGAGGTACGGATGCTCAGTTTGTTAAGAAGTTACGTAGAATGACCTACAGAAAGCCACTGTTTTGGTCAATCATTTCCCGTATCCATCTTTAATAAGCGGTGTTTTAATTATTGGACAGAGTAGTACAGTAGCCTGCCATGTGCTTCCATGCCCTACTCTCTTAGGAATTGTGTGTTGTATGGAAATAAGGCAATGGCAATAAGGCAATGTTATTTCTGAAGCTTTTCTGCAGCAAAATATTGGAGAGAAAATAAAGATAATTGTATTAACTGCCCATAGTTAAACACATATATTAATGCCTATGCAAGCAGCTGTATGCATGATACCCAACTCCAGTGGTAGGAAAAGTGTATTGTGTAATATTGAAAAAGTACCGAAAAAGGATGTTTTATTATTACCCAGATGCTCCTTACCTTTCATCACCATTTGAAATGGGTTCTGATCCAATGTCATGTAATGCTGCTCTTTCATCTTGATTCCTAACTGTCAGACTGCAAAGTAACAAACATAGTTTCAGTCAAGTGGAACTGAAGAACATTTTGCTGAAGCTTTGTACTTTCCTCCAGACTGTATCCTTGAACATAGTTTCCAACCCAGTTTTCCCCAGTATAAAACTGGGGATAATTAATACTCTTATTTTGTCTTCTCCAATCTGATACTCTTCAGATAATTATGTTGGCTAGGGATGATGGAAGTAGTAGTCCAATACATTTGCAAGGCACCAGGTTGGGGAAGGATGCTCCTAATGCTTGCACCACATGATTTTTTTCTATTTATATTGAACTCAGCACTGCATTGTTCCTGTCTTACAACATCATCTATTTCTTGTAATAAATTACATATTAAAAAAGAAGTAAAAAGTGGGGCAAGAAAGTAGTTTCTGCTACATGTAGCTGCATCTCAGAAAATCTGTAGTATTAAGTAGCCTACCATTTCTGGTGGTTTGTACTAGGAGTTTATACCTGAAACCAGTTTGCACTATGGTGCCATGCAGAGCAGAATTTTATAGTATTTATGGCGCTCTCATATGAATGGGCTTCCTTCATCATCAATTCTGCTGACAGAGCAGCTGCATGAACAAGGAAGTTTTTGCATGAAAACTGGATGCTCTCTTGGCTTGCAAGATCTTGCTGGATCTGCATGATTACCTGAAAGCAAACTCTAACAGAATTCAGTGGGACTGACAGCATTATCCTAGCTATGTTTACCCAGAAGTAAACTCCACTGAGTTCTGTGCTGATTACTTGTAGGACATTTTTGTTGGATTGCAGCCATAGCTGTCTTTTATTCCTGCCAGTTGTGCAATCCTACATAATTTACAGGTGTTTGTTCTCTCCCTCGCCCTCTCCCTCTCCCCCCCCCCCCCTCTAAGTCTGTTAGATGTAATGCAGAAGGTTTTTAAGTAATTTGTTGAACTACTATATTTTGGAGACTTTAAAGTTTCTGTGAGTAATAAAGAACTTCATGGAAGCCACATACAACTTTTTCCTCTCTCATGTATGTACTTCCTTTCTCTCCTTCTCTCTCACCTGTTTTTAGCATCACTGGAGGAAAATCACAAGAATCATACAGGTGCCAGCACTGGTTCTTTTCTCATCACCTTCCTACTAACCCTATTAGCAGTTTTGAAGCTATTATGGCTTTACATCAAGGAAGTAGCATGGGATATTGGATTTGCTTTCTGCCAGTGTTGCTGCTCCACTGAGCATGCTTTGTGGCTGCTCAATTATTATTTCTGAACTGAGATTCAGTCATAGTCAGCCGCTCCACATTAACTCTCATAAGCAACTGTGGCAAACTCATCTTTGTGGAGACCACGGAAAGTGAGTTGCTCCAGCTCCTTGATCATTTTAGAGAGGAACCCTATGTCCTGGAGAAGTTAGATTCCCAGTTCCAAAGCTAGAGGCAGAGCTCCAACCTTAGAGCTGGGGATCTATCCATTGACCTATTTCTACCTTACCACCAACAGCTGGTATGGAAAAAACTATACAGGCTGTCTCTCCGAGGTCAAAAATGTGACTCAGAGAGTGGGGAAAGGGAATGTTCCAGGGGCTGTCTAGCTGGAACACTAAAAGTGCAGGGTAAGAGGTGCAGAGAGGCTGCTCCTCCATTCATTTAAATTGTTGTGAGCTTCTGGGTTCAGGACTTTTACAAGCATCCAGGGGGCATTTGATGCAATTGTGCCCTTAGCTGCCTTTTCGACATGGTTTTTAACTTTCAAATACTTTTTCGGTGTGCTGACCAGAGCTGTACATAGTATTCCAAGTGTGACTGTGGAAAAGATTTGCATGAAGGTTGTTACTGGAAGATTTGTTTTAGATTCCTTTACTATTTATGCCCAATATGGAAGATGGCTTTTTCACAGCAGCCACACACTGGGTCAACCTTAAAATTCCTTTCTTGGTCAGTTGAGGTTAGCTCTGACTTCGTCAGCATATGAATGAAGCCAGGGGTGGGGTGGCCCAATACAAAATGGCTCATTTTACATGTATTTACAATTATCTCATTTTGTCCTTCATAAGCTCCATTGAACTCAATGATACTTACTTCTCTGACTTGGAGAATATATTGGAATTTGACAATGCATTTTAGCTTTTTAATAGAAATGAGAACCATTTTGCAAAAAATCGTTATCATTTAAATTATTAGTATGAACCAGGAATTTTAGCCAGGAAAAAGAAAGAGGTATCCAGCCTCTGCTTGATTATTTCTCAGTCTCTGACTTCATCCATGCTACTCTGTCAAAAGCAAGAGTAAAAACTGTACGTCTTTATCATCTCAGTCACTTGCCAGAGCAAAGAAAGTCCATCAAACAGTCTGAGTTCCAGCAGATGATACCATTGCTCTGGAGAAAAAAAAAGCCCTAATCCTGTGTTCTAACAGCTTCTCCCTCCACCACACAATCGTATAACCATGTTCTAATGAAACTTAATGAGTTGTCTTCTACTGATTCAGTCCATTGGCCCACGGGGCCCAAAATTATTGATGCTGCCTGACAGTGATTCACCAGGGTTTCAGGCAGGAGTTCTTCCAGCTCTCCCTGGAGAAGTTGTGAATTAAACCATAGACCATTGCATGCAAGGCAAGTGCTCTGCCTCTGAGCCACCACTGTCCCACAAAACTGTTTGTTTGTCACATGATTTCTGTCTTAGCCTGTGACCAAAAAGCCCTGCAAAATTACCCAACTGAAAAAAAGGGGAAAGCAAAAAACAAAAACAAAACAAAAAAAAAAACCTACTACAACAACAAACCCTAAGCTGCTTTGGTTTTTATTTCTGCCAATAAAAATTGCATCTTTAATTGTGTTATAGCATCTGTGTTTTAACTTTTTCTTTATGTATGCAATGATAAATAAGTTTTCCATCACCCTAAGAATGAAAGCATTTGAACAGTGCAAGACAGATTAACTATATAAATAAATCTGATTCAACAAGATGGTCTGTACCACCAGTGATAGAGAATTTCTTTGGACTGAGAAATTTCATGTGGAGAAGTACAAAGAACCATGTTCCTTCTCTACTTTAAAATCTTGTATTTGTCATGCTTCACAGAATGATAGCTGTGCCCTTTTTAATGTTGAAGCCACTTAAAAGAGACCATTCATTACCATTGCACAGCTAAATGTCTAATTGATCCTAAACTGCTGATGAAAGGATGGAGCATAAGTTATGGCTTCAGCCAACAAAAGCCCATCTGGTGACTATTCTTCCTGCTTAGTTATAAAAATGGGTAGTTTCCTCCCCCCCACCCCCCAAAGAGCTCTACATATTAGAGAATCTGTAGCTCTGGGTGCTATTTCGGTTCCTATTCATAGTTTCTCCTTTTGGGTTATTTGAGGAAATGCTTTCAATAATTATTATAAATAGAGCATTAAATTGCCATTTCTTTTACACCTCTCATTACTTGAAAACAGTTGCTTTGAAGAAATCAATCACTTTAAACATAGAGTGACATTATTTTTCTAGCAACCCCAAATTACTATGGAAATGCCAGTTGTAGTTTTTAAGCTTCAGAAGGTGTCTTCCAGATATGCTGGACTACAGCCAGAGCTGTAGGTGGGATGCATCCCTTCCCTCAGGGGGCAGCACAGATGAGGCAGTAAATGCTGTACTCCACACTCATGTCAAGAGACCCCCCTGCTGCTTCCTTGCTCTTGCGATGCAACGCTACAATCGGGTCACAAGATCTCCACTGACTGCTCCCCATTTGCCTCAGTACAAGAGCAGACAGCAGAGCTTCCCACAGCAGTCACTGCCTTCTGTTTTGCTCTGAGGTCCTATCAAAATGAGACAGAGAGGGGACAGGTCTACTCTCTGGAATTACCACCAGTTCACTGTTTGTTCTGAGGATCCTCTAAGCCTGAACCAGAAAGCAGGCAGGATGCCTGGAATAAGCTGGGACATCTCACTTTCCCATATTGCCTGGATCTGAGGAAGGCCCCCCTCCCACCAGAACCCAGCATTTGGCCTCTGTGGCAGGACATTGCAACTAATTTCCCAGATTAAGCCAGAGGGAAAGCCACCCTGGGTTCCTCACAAGAGGGAAAAAGGGCAGCATGATGGTGGTTAAAATAGCCAGTTTTGGTTACAATCAATAGGTTGCTATAGCACCACCAAAAACTTATAAATCTGGACTCAGAATTCAGTAACAATTTTTATTTGCAATTAAGTGAGCTAGTTACTGTCCATGGGCAAAATAGATTATATTGCTAATACTATGATTCCCCAATTGATTTCAATGGTTTTTGGTCAAAACAGTGCTTTGCAGATTATGTAGCTCAGGAAACACATTAGGTTCCATGCTAAATCCTGTCAGGGTAAGTCAGTTCCAAATATGTGTGCATATAAATTTTAAATTTTCACTGATGAAGAGTTGCTGCTCAGAAGCTTCTCTTTTGGAGGTGATTTCAATGCATGACTGGGATTATACATGCCCAAACATTGTTGCTAACTAATTCCTCTGCCTTGTGTTAAAGGGTTTATAAATTAGAGCCAGGTTGAGACCATATCCTCAAAGTACCCACATCTGTTTTTTTCCTGGTTTTCTTTCAAACAATATATGTTTCAAAGCAGTTTTCTCCTTAGATGCATTTGCTCTGCTGTCACCTAGATGCCACCATGGCCTTCTGAAATGCCTCTTTGTTTCATGGATAGATCACTGTCACAATAAAGAGCAGTCACTGCTCGTGCACAGCTTCCCAGCTTCCCGTGACTGAGTCCAGCCATAGGTCCATTTAGCCCAGAGCTGTCAACAATGACTGGCAAGAGTTCCGGAGCGAAGCAATCCAGGATTGCTTCCTAGCTCTACCTGGAGATGCTGGAGACTGAACACAGGAGCTTCTCCATGAAAGTCAGTTCCTGTCGTGCCTGACGGCTCAACAGAGACCCCTACTTGTGAGGAAGAGGCAGGAGCTAACAGTGCAAGTTATCATAATTGGACTTGCCAGGGTGGCTTTCATAGTTCCATTTTCTCTTTCCATCATCCCTGTGAGCTTGCTTGGGCTGAGAGCCTGTGACTGTCCAAAGCTTCATGAGCCTCATGGCCAAGCCGGGACTAGAAGCAGATCTCCCATTCCCTGTTCAAAATGCTAACACTTTCAGCATTAGGGATTGCACTGATGTGACACATTCACACATTCTCTAGCCCTGCTTTAAAGAATTGTAAGCAGCAGCATTCTCACCTTGGCATCTACTGCATTTCTTTTCTAGTCTCCTGATTGCCCAAGGCGCAGATGCTTATGCTCCCATATGGCTACCTGCCATCTTGCCCATTGCCTCCCACAGAAGATTTGGAGGAGCTTGAAAGGCCTACCAGGAGCAGCTGCAACAACAGCACCAACAGAAGCAGCAGGCATTGGAACCTCGATTCCCTATCCCAGGTGGTGCCTGGATGGAACTTGGGGTCTCCTGGGATACAGATGTCTGTCTCTTGCGCATCTCCATTTGCTCTGATCCCATTGGCTGCAAGAGGAAAAATTGGGAAGGAGGTTAAACAGTGTGGGGAAAGCTGCATGCCAGCCCTTGTCAGATGCTGTTACACTTAATCCACAATACTGGCTTTATTAGTGGTTGTTAGTAGAGGGTACATAATTCCTTTTCCTAGTTGCAGGAGCAATCCGGGGTGCTTATTCCTTCAAGCCCACTAGGACTGTTCAGCATTGATTTATTGATACCTTCATGGACTGCTGGTCTTGCTCTGAACCTGCCTGAGTAGTCAGTTCTGGAGGAACTCCACGACCTGTTTGTCAGGCATGTCTGAAAGGGCTTTCTCATATGTTGTCTCCAAACTATGGAATGTGCTCCCTCAAGAACAGCACTTGACACCCACTTTCTTGGCCTTTAGAAGGGTTTCCAAGATTCATTTTCAATTTGTATTCAAACTGTGTAGTTTATTTTTTCAGTATTTGTTTTTATTGTTCTAAGGTTTTATTTTATGAAGTCTTGATGACTTTTTAACAGATAGGGCAATATATATATATCTCAACAATAAATAATAAATCTCAATATGCTGGCTGCTTCACAGTCATCATTTAATTTTTTAAAAGAACTATGCAGCAAAGATTTTGAAAGGGCAGAGGTGTTGGGAAAGATACCCAGCGGACGGTGCTACATATGTTTCTTGTGGCTTTCCTCCACTTCCCAAAAAGAAGAGCAGTACAGAGGCTAGACCAGAGCCTGTTGACCAGTCAGATGTTTGGGATAACTTATCTTCAGCCACAGGTTTGCTGTGACTGAAGAAAGTGCTAACATTTAGCATGCAACTATGCAGCTTCTTTTCTAATTGTGGTACAGTTTTGTGTTGTATCAGACTTTGAAGTGGGGGATAAAGCATTTATCCCAAAAGGTCCGATTTTTATGTTTTAAGTTTTATTTATTTACTTATTTTTGGAACATGTGATATCTACTTGGCTGACTAGGTTGGCTGCATGGGTTCCACAACAGTATGAGCAGTAGTGGAAAGAGCTGGAGTCATTGGTGCATGTGAAATGCAGGGGGTCACATGTATTAAATGCATACCTGTTCCCCTACAAACTGTATATGGTTGTCATCTTTTGCAGGTCTTCATACAATTTCTGCCCCAACACAAACTTATTTATTTTCCATCTTCATAGGAAAGTAGGGCTATGCCCATGCAGAAAACTCTCAGATACTCAGTAGCAACAGGGCTTTTAAGTGCAAACAGTCCATAGGATAGCTTGCAATGTCATAAAGGGATGCAATTCTAAGATCATGTAACGTACTACTGCAGGCCTAAAATCATTTTTGCCCCAGTCTTGTGAAGCATATCTTATATTGTATGATATGGCAAACTGTATAGTGCAGTCCCTGGCAAAACAAAATCCATTGTGTATCCACTCTCAACTTGTGTTATACACAAATTCTTCATCCTTGTATACACAAAACTCCATTTTGATACAAAATTTGCTTTGTTTTCCCTGTAGCCTCTTCTCTCTCTGAATAAGTTAACATTATTTATCTTCCTCGCTTGGATGTTTATCTATTTGGAGAAGGTAGCACATGCTGGTTAGAACTTAGAAGTTATTTATACTTCAGCAAAGGCAAAATGAACATGGAAAGCCCAGTCTACTATCAATATACCTTAGAGAGTTGAGCATAAGTGTCTTCAGCAAACAGTCTGGTGAAGTAAAGGAAATAGAAGACATATAAAATTTGCTGGAGCTGGAGCCCCTTCTTACAAAAGCATTTTTATAGACCACTAAACAAAAAGTATGTGAGCCCCTTGGCTTCGAGGAAAATCTGTGAATGGTACATATGCAGTGCCTGCCAAAGCTAAAAAGGCTTGTGTGCAAGAAATCAACAAGAAGATTGGCTCAGTTTTTATTTGCAATAGTAGTTTGGCTTTCACAGCAGTGGAGAACTATAATAAAGCAGATGGTGTATTGCTTTATGTTGCTTTATTCCTACTTGCTCATGCTCCTAAATTAAGCAGAAAGTGATCTTGCCTGCACAGGATTAAGGAAGAAATAGTTGCACAGCTTATTTTGTCCTAAGCAAAATCTGCATTCTTTCTTTACATTTGGCATTAAGGTATAATAGTGGTGGGGGTTTTGACAAAGATGCATAGATCTTTGTTTCAGATTTAATTTCCAGTAGATGTCTCAGTCTGCTGGTTCAAGAAAGCTGGAGAATCTATTCCTGAATAAATCTAATTGTCACTGCTTATCCCAGATAGATCTTTTGAATGTCTGCATATGGCTGTTCATGTCTTTCTGGTCATTCCTTGTTCCTGGGCTTTATTCTGGTCATGTAAGTGCTTTATACAAAAAGCAAAATGCAATTGTAGAAAATGCTACATGGGGGAGGAGGGGCACCTGAGTAATTTATGATCCCTCTTATATTTTCTAGTTGTTTCAAAATGTAAACCACATGGAGTATTCAGGATTGGGGAAGGAGCAAGCTGAAGTTCTTGTTGTTGCTGATATCTGTGGTCAAGTCACCTCTGACTAATGGCAACCATATGAATGAAAATTCTCCGAAATGTTCTTGACATTCTAAATTCAAGGTTGTGGTATCCTTCATAGAGTCCATCCATCTTTCCTTCAGTTTTCCTTTCTTCCTCTCTTCCTCTGCCTTCAACTTTCCCTAACATGATTGTCTTCTCCAGTGAGTCTTGCCTTCTTGTGATGTGTCCAAAGATGACAGTCTCAGCCTGGCCTCCTGGCAGCATTGCTCTCTGTTTCTCTGATACTCACACCCCCAAGCTATCAACAAATGCTGATTGTCTAATTTATGTCAAGCACAGCCTGAGCAAATTTAGAATTGTACTTTAGTTCTATCCACAACCCAGGATAGGGTTGCTTTCTGCTAAGTAGGGATTAGCAGAAAATAGATCTCCAGATGTTTCTGACTGGAGCTCCCATTTCCATGTGTTTCACAAGTTGGATGGAAAATGTATGCCTTCACATTAGGCAATACTGATGGGATGCATGTACTAGATGCTCCTCATGAGGCCAATTATACAGCTACATGCACATCCAACAGACTTTATCTTGAGTGGCACATATATAATTCCTAGTCTAAAATGATACATTATGCAATTATGCTTGGATATTTAGACAGGGGATCTACTAGCACATCACCCTGTGGGCGAAAGAATGCTTCTGTTTACAGATGCTCCATTGCATGATTAGATAAGTATAATGATGATTCTCTGTGGGAGGAAGCAGAGGGGCTGATCTGCTTGGTGGCGCTGCCTCACAAATGGGGCAGCGCCTCCAAGCCAAAGCTTTGTCGCAGGCTAACAACTGTGTTAAGCCACAATGTTTGGTCACCACAACTGTATCTGCATAATATTGAACAGCCAATGACAGACAATGTTTGGTTGTAATGTAGTGCAAATCCAGTCATAGCTTTAAGATGGACTTTCAGGGTCATCTGCTCTTGATGCTAGGCATGATCAACTCCAATCAAGTATTTATTACTATACTGTCCTTCACCAGAATTGATTCCAGGACAGTTTTACAAACAAAAATGCAGCCTTTAAAAGAACAATATATACAATTAACAACCTAATTATAAAAGGATAGTTTTGCAACTTTTTAAAATGCCTGGTCATCTGGATGCTAGATAACCTTCCTCAAAAAGGGTGTCCTACAGGGCTAGCCCTACCATGTCATAAGGTTGGGCAGTAATCTCAGGCAGCAGATTCATGGGAGCAGACAGGATGATATGAATGACAAAGCAATGTGTGTCATATTGCCTGTCCTGTGTCCCCTAAGTTGCCCTGCTGCCTTCGGGTATGATGGAGGACACTGTTCTGCAAATGCGTTGCACTAAGAGTCACCTGGCAGTCTCCTTGGCTTCTGTACTTGGAATGAGGCTGCTTTCTTGTCATTTGCCTCAGATAACCCCTAGAATGTCAAAGAGGCCCAGGTGTGGTGCTTTAAAAGGGCCTTATCTGTTTACTCAAGGGAGAATAGGCAGGTGACTGTGGGAACAGGTATTTTTAAAGTACTCCAAGTCACTTAGGATTTTTTAAAAAGTGCACACAAGAGTGCGGACCCGATTGTATGGGCCCGCCCCCGGAGCCGGATGGATCCGGATGGATTCCTGGGGGCCCTGGGGGAGTTTCCGGCTGACAAGACTGGTGCTCCTGTCGAGGCTCTGGTCGAACTGTGGAACGGAGAGATGACCAGGGCTGTGGACACGATCGCTCCTAAGCGTCCTCTCCCACCGGGCAGAGTCCGCTCTTCCCCTTGGTATACACCTGAAGTACGGGCGATGAAGCGAGCTGGGAGACGGCTAGAGCATAGGTGGAGGAAATCACGGGATGAATCTGACCGAACACACTTGAGAGCCCACTATCGGGCCTATGCTGTGGCGGTGAAGGCGGCGAAAAAGAAGTTTTTTTCTGCTTCCATTGCCTCCTCACAATGCCGTCCAGCGGAGCTTTTTCGAGTGGTGCAAGGCCTGGTTCGCCTGGGTCCTAAGGAAGATCCGATGCCACCCTCAAAGGCCCGCTGTGACGACTTTGCCAGGCATTTCAGGGAGAAAATCGCTCAGATTCGTCACGAGCTGGACTCCACTAATGAATCAGAGGTCTCTGAGGAGTCGCCAATGCCACCATCTGGTCCAAAATTACTGGAGGAATTTCAATTATTGCGGCCCAATGATGTGGACAAGGTGCTTGGAAGAGTACGTCCCACCACTTGCCTATTGGATCCTTGCCCGTCTTGGTTAATAAATAACTCCAAGCACGGGATTGGGACCTGGATCTTGGAAGTGGTTAATGCTTCTCTGAGGGAGGGTCGAGTGCCTGCCCCTTTAAAGGAGGCGGTAATACGACCGGTCCTGAAGAAAGCGTCACTGGATCCAGAGATGGCCACTAACTATAGACCTGTGGCCAACATCCCATTTCTGGGCAAGGTGTTGGAGCGAGTGGTGGCGGGACAACTCCAAGCACTCTTGGATGAAACTGATTATCTGGATCCTTTTCAGTC